ACACTTCTGCCGATTTCCCACCGCCGCACCGCAGCCCCAGACCGCCAAATGCCTTTTTTTAAGGAAAATTATATTTTTACATAATTTAACAAGCCCGTCGAGTGGGAAAAGAGGAAAATGGCAGCAGCTCTCGTCGGTGAGTCAGTTAGTCAGTCAGTCAGCAAGTTTGCCATTTCTTTATGCGACTGTTCGGCCAAAAGAAGGCTTGGTTAATGTCCGGGCTGAAGCTAGGGATGTCGTTGTAGTGGCCGCCATTGCATTGACCACTAAAAATTTGTCGTTAAAGGCATAAAATTCTTCTATTTCCTGGCCGGAGCGGGAGCGAGGCCTGCGACAACTATGGGAAAGTGGCACTTGAGTGGCGGCACTTTGAATGGGGTTTTATGTGCTCTCCGCTCTTCGTGCCATCGTCCCATCGCACCTTGTTCCTCCGGCCTTCCCTTCCACTCGCTTTAAGCGTAAATTATGTTGTAAATACAATTTTTTAGCTGGAAGAATTTCTTCATCATCAAGTGGTTGTTCGGCTTCGTATCCTTGCCGCCTTCGAACGGCGTAAAAGCGCCGACTTGGCTTAAGGGCCAGAAAGGTTGCTAAGTGGAAATGGGTGCTTGGGCAAAATGTGTAAAAATATTGTTTATGCTGCGTTATGTGCGAAGCAAAATGGGAAGTGAAATTGGTATGGAATTTAGCGCACAGAGGGTGTCGGATCGCATTCTAAATCCATTTTGTCAGAGCTCAACCAAAAACATTGATTAGTACCTGTAATTCCCCTAAAGTTTAGCAAAGATAGTTACATTTTTGCGCACTCTTTCTTCTTCTTTAATTCCCTGAAATTCTATTCTTAGCTCCATGGATATTCCATAGGTATCCAGAAGAAATCTGACTTACTTCTCAAGAGTTCTAAAAGTTCTAAAATGTGTTTAGTCAACTCCTGGAGAATCTCCTGAGAATCAGCATAAATTCTAAACCAAATTGGCTACTGCAAACGGATTATCGATAGCCCGAAAGGCAATTGGCGAAATCCTTGCGGCCGTATTTAAACTTAAATGCGGCATAATAAGCCAGGCCAAGTTGGGGCCCAGACGGACAGGACACGACCAGTGATGGGCCAAGGACCCTCCACTGCTCTTCTTTGAAGAGCTGAAACTAAAGCCAAAGCTGGATCCTGGACCCGACTGGCTTTCAACGGAAAATCATTACCAGAAATGTCCTGCAGCGTCATTTGTAAGCGCCGTTGGCACTCTGCCCTCTGTCAGAGGATGGAACCGGGGGGACAGAGCCCGAAGCAAAGTCACAGCCAGAACGAAACAACCGCTGGCCAACAGCAGACACTTAAGTCTAATGGTTTTGTCAGCCACGCCCCTTGCCACTCTCCCTCTCCGGACCCAGTCCCAGACCAAACCCAGACGCCATCCATAGCTATAGCCATAGCTCCCTGGCACTCGCATCGAAAGAATTCGCTTCAATTCGAAATGCCGCTGCACGCATACAAATTGACAATTTTATTAGCACATAAATTAGTAAAAATAATCAATAAGCAATGTGCCAAAAAGCAGTCGAAAGCAGAGGAGGAAAGATATACATCAACCCAATTCGAATAAGGAATACTCTATGGTTGGGCGGAGGTAGCACATATTACGTTTACTTACAGATGCAGATGACAAACATTACCGATAGCATATGCAAAGTATTCTGCCATATTCCACTTGTGAGTTCAAGCTATAAAATATAACAAAGCTAATGGACTCGCCGGACAACGTAAGTCGGAGAGGGAAGCTAATGCTCAAAATTGGAATTGGTAGATGGCTGAAATAAATTCAATTTATTGGCTGTATTTATGTTGCGTCCCAGCCCCGTCTCCGCTGGTGGCAGAATGGAATGGAATTGGAATGCCGGCCCGGCCTGGCCCGGCCCGGCTATTGCAATTACCATGCCAGTGCCAGGCCCAAACCAAAGTCGATGCCAAGGACTCGGCCAGGATTCCAGGATGATGCGAAGACGGGAATATTGGTCAATTAGTAGCGGGGCCATCGCATTTCGAGTCAGACTTGTGCACCGCACAACATCACCGATGTAGACGGACCGGACGGACAAATTCCTGTTAATTCGTAATTTTGTTCTTATTTTTCTCTGCTGCTTTTCCCACTGACTTTTTTCCCCCCGACTTTTGCTAATTGCTTAATTCACGAACATTTTCGCATTGCATACTTTTGGGTGCCTGGTTGTGGGTCGACTGCTGCGGGGCGTGGCACCCGAGTAGTTTTCCAACTATTTTGCACCAAACAAAAATAGATGAAAGTTTTCCAACTGCCGCCTCCTGTGCGCATCTGACGATGACGTCGACGATGGAGATGATGATGATGCCGATGCTGCTGCTGCTGCTGCTGCTGCCGTTGTTCCACCCCGAGTTGTTGCTGTTGCTGTTGCCGCTTGTTGTTCGACGCTAATTAACTCGATTTTTGGAAGGGAAAACCGTTTGCTAATTTGAAAGCGAAATAGTTGCCCGACCCCTTCGGCGTAACTCTCAAACTGAAGTTATGAAACCTGCAACGAGACAAGCCATGAGAGATGCCCAATTAGATGGAAATTTGTTGTTGCTACTGGGGAAAGGTGCACGTAAAATCAGTCCAACTTGAAATCTACTTTGGGTATTTTTCTTTATATTTAAGAATTAATAATTTCTCCCTAAACTCTATGTATCCATCCATGCAAACCATTCGTTACAACCTAACATTCTATGTGCAAGTAAATAACTATTTTTCTGCTATTTGATTTATAATATCGGAGCCTACAACTTTAATATTCCGCCAAGGACTTGAAATATCCTTTCGTTTTGATGGTCTCAACACTTTCCCCCATGACTCCCACAGTTGCATGTCCATGGCGTTCAATGAATGCAAATTTCGCCGACTGGCACGCGGCCAAGTTGGGCAAAAAGAATAATACAGAGCGGGGGGAGTGGCCAACTTAAATGGCGGAAATGAAATACAAGTAGACGACAAACGGAAGCGGGCAGGACAGAGAGCAGAGGGCAGAGGGCAGAGGGCAGGTCTCGTCCAAGGGCGGGTCGCACAATTTGCTGTCATACTTAACTGAAATTAGAACGTGATTAGATTTCATTTAAGCATTAAGCACAACTGACAGCCAGCATGACAGCCCGAGTGTGCCGAGTGGGCCGATTGGGATGAGTGGAATGAGCTGGAATGAACTGGAAGGAGTGCGATGGGATGCAGAGAGGTGGAATATGATATTTTGAGCGGGCAAATTTATTGACAATTAGCTGGAGAAGTGTGAGGGGGGAGGACGGTGATAGAGAAATGGACTCGGCACGGCGAACATTAATTATAACGTGCATAATTAACAAATCTGGCAATCAGTGGAGCAGCGGCTTTAACTGGCCAGGAATTAGAGCCCTCCTGCCCCCCTGGAGACCCACCACCTCATCACACATAAACACACCCGGAGAGAGCCCAATAAGCGTTTAATCAGAACCAAGGCCGATTCTGTGGGGGTCGGGAGTGGGGGCATGGCCATTCAGGCAGCGCTAATGAAAGCACTGCCGGGAGAAATTGGTTTACGGGCTGTTTACGCAAGCAGAAGTTATTAGTTGTGCCCGGATTGGGAGGGCGGACGTCCACATCTCTTGGCTAATTTGCGGTATTAATGACAGTTAAGCGGAGTGGACTCAAATAGCCCCATAATTGGCAAAGGCTTCAGAAAGCAATTCCTTGTCGTCAATGCAATTGGGACTATCAGATGGGGGCTAGATGTACGGAGTACGAGTATTTCCAAAGAATTGGACAGACTCGCCCCTTAGTCCGCTTGATGAGCTCGCGGAGGTCAAGCTGAGTCTCCTCAGACATCCCTCACTCTTTTGCACCTGTCTGAGGACACAATCTCAACTTTATCGCCGCAAAGTTAAGCAAACACAAATAGATTAGTTCCAAAGTTCAGGCCATTGTTCAACGTTCGAATGCCAAAAGTCAAATTGTGTCAACTGCTTGGGCGGCGCAAAACAAAACAAAACAAAACCAACAAAAAAACAACAAGAAAACATGTCAAGGCTGCTCTGCCGGATCCGGGCATCCACACACCCATCCGTGTGTGTGTGTGTGTGTGTATGTGTATGTGTGCGTAGGTGGAGAGCCGGAGTGCTACATGCTACAAGCAAAACAAATTGCCTTTGAGGCAGGCGATTGACGATTGCCGGATCGGACGTTGTTGGTCTTTTGATTTAGTCGCTAGTCGAACGTTGCTTATTGAAATGCCTGGACCGGACTGGGTCGGGTCAAAGGGAGGTCACTGGAACTATATTTGAATTGTAAAGCAGGATGCTTGATGGCTGTATCTGCACCGCCTTCCCGAAGGTGACATCCAGCCTCGGATATGCACTGATTAGAGATCTGACGCTGAGCCCTGGCATCTATTTACCTTATCTTCTCAGGCAGAAAATTAAAGTCTCACCCAGAGTTGCCTCATCATTGCTCTGATTATGTCACACTACTCAGTCCCCTTCCCCTTCCCCGTCCCATCGGCCACTCTCCGTGTAGTTCTTCAATTACTTTGCATAAATGTGATGCGACAGGAGCGACAACCCAATTAGCTTACAGACACTGCTACATTTCATTAAACAAATGGTCTCTGGTGTATAATTTTAATACGCAATTACCAGCATTTCAACGACACTCGATTGCCAGATAGTACCCCTTACCCGTACCCGTACCACTACCCTAGCCCTTCCCTTCCATCAGACTCGTGTTCGCATTGCCTCCCACTTTCCACTTACCATTTCCCCACTTACCATTTTCCACTTCAACCTAAGCCAGAGCAATAAATTTCATTTGATGCTCGCTTTGCTGTCGAGTGTCGTGAGGGTTTAGGGCTAGGTTACCTTGACTCCTCAACCCCCAACGAGGGGCTTTAAATTATTTGACAATTTATGCGAAAATTATGTGCGAATTGAGCCGAGCATCGCCCAGGCAACCAACGAAACCGAGAGATCTCTTTATTGCGGCCACCATTAATCAATTTATTTAGTTGCCAAGCTATGCCATCCCACTATATCTCGGTCCAGATGTTCCATGGGTGTTCGCGCTGGGGCCGCAGCTCATCGATGTCGAAAAACATTTCCGTGGGTAGGACGTGTTGGAAGAGTCGCCGGAGAACAAACAAAATTGTCTCGAACATGTCGCTGCGAGGCCTGAGAATCCGCACAGATTGCACAGCGGACAGCAGCCCAGGTATTGGCAATGGAGTTGGGTTAAAACGCCACTCTGATGGACCGGACACAGGGGAGGAGTGCCCAAATACAGCACTGCCTTGCCAAGAGCTGTGGTGGAGTTCCGGGAGTGAGTGATGGAAATGGGGCCGGGTCCCGTCTCATTACTCACCGTGTACCAAGTGTCGAAGAGCGTGTTTAATTGATTTGAGTGGTTTGTGTTTCTTTTGATACTTGAATTTCATTTTCGAATTGGATTTCAAAGCGGAGACCAGACTGAAAAGGCACAGAATCCTCTGAGATTTCCCCTTAGCTCGATTCCCCCCTTTTCCGCTTCTAATTGTCACCACAAAAGCCGCGAGACGTCCGCCTCAATTACATTTCGAAATCATTTCGACGCCTGACTGGGAGGGGCGGAGTTTCCGCTTCGGGTCGGAAGTAGGTCGGTGTAATGCCATTTCTTGTCATGGTTCAATTATTAAAATGTTAATATTTGTGGCTAATGTGTTGATTAGCGTTTTGGTAGAGGCTTTGTGGAAAAAATAACACAGAATACTCGTAGTTATCCAAGATCCGGTGGAAATCAATAATTGATTGTATCGCTGATTTATTTACACTATTAATTGCTGGACTTCATTGCAGATCCGCTTATGCACATTATATACCCATTCGATTGCACAACTCCATCCAAGGACTAAGCCCTCATCTGTCTGTATTATTTACCCTACGTGTCCGCCTACCCTACAGCATTTTTTCAAACAGTAATTACCACGGGCTCTATAATCATCTGCACATGGATACAACAAATGTATTTTAACAACTTGCGTTCCCAGTGCGGCAAATAAAATTAAAAAGGATTGCAGACTTTTAGGCGGGACAGAACAAATTCCCGTATGCCCGTACAGGTGGATGTTGCACTCGGAGAAGGTGGTGAAGGGCGTGGGTGGGGGTGGAGGTAGCCATGGCAGCTGCAACAAAAACACATTTAAAATGCAATCAATCAGCCAGAGCAAAGAAATAAGCGTGGGCCCCACGCCCCCCACAGAAGTTGCGTAAAATCGAAATTAATTTGTGTGCACATTTATTTATTTATTTTTTGATTACCCCTTAAACATTTTCCCCCATCCAGAAAATGCATTAATCAACTTTTTCTGCACTGACCCTTCATTTAATTAAATTCAATATTAATTTCCCACGGAATGGGGAAATTTTAATATCGTAAATGAATTATTTATCAGTAAGCAACTTTATATTTAACTTCATAAGGAAATTTTGTAGCTCTATCAGCCTTTAAAAAAATAAGCAAAATATTACTTATTGGAAAGCGATGGGGTTCTAACTTTTAGGAGTCAGTGTACATTTATTGAATAGTAGGAGAAGGGCAGAATATAATTCTTTGTGACATAATAAATCAGTAGTTAATTTGAAGGAAGAATAAGGTGAAGTATCCAAAAGAAATAAATTCTTATTGGCTACCTCTAGCCATAAAAGCTGTAGAGAAATAAGCACTGATTCTCATTCGACCCTTCTCGAGTCGTCATCATTCCGCACTGCGAGTCCTTTGCAGTTAGATCATTTCGCCAGCCCGAATGTCAATCTGCCATCAAGATTATCATCTGCTTACCCCTTGGACATTAAGCAGTTCCTCGTTCATTAACCCATAAAGCTCCGCGGGATAATTGCCATTACCATTAACTGCTCTCGAGGCTTACGCTCCGAATCCCCTTGAGCTTGACAGCGGCAACAAAGCCTTCACGGAGCCGGAAGCTCTTTCTTGTTTCAGCCATCACTTCATCATTCCCATCGTTCCAGCCAACCACACACTTTAACAATTATTGCCAACCACACGGACATGTACCCAGACATGGACATGGGCATGGACACGGGTAGCATGGAGATGGCGATGGACATGGACACAGACACAGACACAGCACAGCACAGACACAGACATGGAGGCAGAACCGAGTCAGATAAGGAGAGTGCATGTAATGTGCTCAATTTTTCGCATTTTGCACATCCGTCGGGCGGAACAGGGCAAAGCAAAGCCGAATGGCCACCTGCCAGCCATAATAATATTAAACAATATATATAAATCACTCAGCTGTCTGGCCAGCAGCAGAAAAAATCAGCCAGAAAAAATCAGCACAAAAAAAACCCTGAGAAAATAAGTCGTGCAAAGGCAAAGTGTCGGCTGCACCAACTGGAGCGTGGGACAGAGTGGAAAGCAAAAGGAGGAAACACGACTCTGACAGGAGGAGGGTTTCATAAAAATTTACCGCCATAATGCTTATTTTAAAAGTCAATATGTTCGGTGCCTGTTATTTTAACACCCATCGTGTTCAGGTGCCACCGGTCCGACATCCTTGTTCTCATCCTCGTCCTGCTCGTTGACCTGGTCACATCCGTTTGTGAAAAGTACGAGACAAGCGACAGGAGCAGCAGCAGTAGCAGCAGTAGCAGCAGCAGCAGGAGCCAGAGTAAAATGTCAGTGGCCAACGTCACAGCCCACAACACACAACATAAACATAAAGTGAAAAGTTGAGCGAGGCAAGAGGGTAAAAGAAATGCCTGGAAATAAGTTGGAAGGCCCACAGCCCGCTCCACACCCCACCTCATCCACCAGCCTTACGGAGGCCATCTAAAGCCAAGCGTCACATGTCGCCAGGATGCGACGGAGAGAGGACCTCGTTGTTCATATCCTGGGCTGTCGTCCGTTTATGTGACATGATTATGTGCAAAAAGTGCAACAGGCAACCAACCGAGTAAACCGCCCCCACACCTGCCACACCTGCCCGAGACACCTGACCTGAAAGTGGCCCCCGAGCGAGGGCGGGGCACGGACACGGGCGCCAGCTGGGGCTTCTCTCGCCTCTGTTGACAGGCCGGTAGCCTGGTAAGCTTACACGTGATTTTTCAACCCAACCTTGCACTCGGAAATTATGGAAAGGGTCAGAGATGTCACACACATCCTCCTTCGGGTATGTGACCGTAATCAGTTCCCAGTAAAGCCCAGCCGCTTGACTATCAGGGGAATAGCCCCAGCTAGCGCTTAAGCCGATCCAAGCACCGGGGGATACAGAAAATCATTTCACCCTTCCATAATTAGCCAGAGACGGATGCAGTAAAGACCTCAATGGTTGTTAAGGCTACAAGAATATCTTTACCATTTCTAATACGTTTATCCGTAGACCCATGGTGTTAATTAAGGCCGTATGTAGGTTGGACGATGGCTACAACTCGTTGCATCGTTGCATAACGATCAGTGTGTTAGAGTATTTAAATTACGCGACCCGAAATTAGCATTTCTGAAGCCATGGACGTGCTGTATCACAGGATCTAACGTATACAGTCGCGTGCCACTGGCCTGTCACGTCCACAACTCAAACGATCGCTACACGATCCAATCAGAATGAAGAATGGTTTTGATTAATCAAACTCCAACTGTAGAATTAACCATCTCCGATCGTAAAAAACTTGATCTAATTTACAGAAGACATGTCAAAATTGGACTCTGCAGCAATCTCTTTTCTATATGTACCAAGAGATGCCATTACGCCACAGAAAAACCCAATTGATTCGTGCGAAAAAACATACAATTACACTGAGTCAATCTGCTTCCAACTGGAACGAGCACAAGTTCTTCCACATGTGGGGAACTCCTAGCTATGCTATCGCATAGACTGCTTGTTTTTTTTTTTTTTGTATATAAAGCTTTATTTGGAGAACTCTGTGCTCTGCTGATAATGCGTTCATCGAGCTTAGTACACAACCAGCCGCCAAACCGAAGAGTAGCGTCGCCTTGCGAAGGTTCTAAGAACACACTCAATTGAAAGATGAGCTCTCTGAAGATATCTCTGTGCTTGCCATTTGGCTGGCTTTTGTTTTCTGTACTTGTGCTATGTGCCGTCGGCTTGCCATGGGACTTCGATCCTGATGCTTCTGACCCATACGACGACGAAAACGACGATCGAGCGGTTGCGTTTAATACAAGGTCGTCCCCCGTAATAGAACCATTAAAAATAAAAAACAAGGTAAGGGCTGAATGAGCTGGTTGTCTTGAAATTCAACTTTGTGTGCATCTACAGGATCAATTCATCGATCTCAGCCAGTCAAACCAATGCGGTCAATCTAAGAGTGGTATTGTACCTAAAGATCCAAACCTAAATTCGACTTATCAATCGGAGTACGGCGCCTTTCCCTGGATGACAGCCATCTTCAACAACAGCCGATTTATTGCCGCCGGCACTTTGATCCGAATGGATGTTGTCCTTACGTCAAGGGATTCAATAGAGAGCATACCGAAGGAAAAACTTCAAGTGGTCGCCGGCGCCTGGGACCTCCGAGGTTCGGGGGAAAAGTTTTCTAAGCTCAATCGCTCTGTGATTGATGTTTCAGTTTGGGAAAGTGTCGCCATCATCTTTCTGACCACGCCCTTCCTCAAAGTTCCGAGCATCCAGACAATCTGCCTGCCTCAGCCTGGGGCTGTGTTCACCGAGATCGACTGCCAGACCATAGGCTGGAGTCAGCCCTCCGACACCGCCACCAGCCAGTCTGACATACTCTGGTTCAGAAAGAACGTCGTCATGCCTCGAGAGGATTGCGAAAGTTTAATTGATATCCAGGACAATAGGACCCAGGAGCCTGGCTTCTTCTGTGCGGTGGATGCGTCCAACGAGTTTAGCCCACTTAATATTGGCGCTGGGCTCTTCTGTAGAAGTAAAATCAGCAGTCCCGCAGTTATGGCAGGACTGGCCCTCACAAGCAGGGGCTGGAGCTTGGATAATCGGCCTTCTCTCTTTGCTGATATACCGCACTATGTGGAATGGATTCAGAGAGAACTGACTGATGACGAGACACCCGAAATCAAACTTCATGATCAAAAATAATCCCATAACACTCTTGATTTCTTCTCGTACATCTTAGCTTTACACCGTTGAATATTGTGTTGCATGTGCCAGGCAAGGAATAACTTATTTAAGGTTTAATATGCTGTATATAATATTTCCTTATCAGCAAAACATGTTTACGTACTATGAGCATATGTATGCATATGTACTTTGCGCTTGATCTTCTGTTTGTCAGCGAATTAAGCTCTTCGCAATTTTGTCTGGCAGTTTCAGAGCTTTAAAGAGTATGTTAATAATGTACACAGGCATTGTTTGTCCAAAGAACGAATATAATTTAATCTTAAATAGAATTATTTGAATAGAAAACGATCTAAAAAATTGTACCTACCTGTATATATATTTTTTTTTTTATTGTTAAAATTAATTTTCTGTTGGTTACCTCTCCTTCTCCAGCGCTGCTGACGCTACTGATTCTCTTTCTCGCTCGCACACTCTTCCGCTTTCAGTGCGCGTGCAACCCCTAGCGGAGGAGATGTAGAATCTAAATGGTACATGTAGAATATACATGTTAGATGTAGAATATACATAGTATATGTAGATGTAGATAACAGATGTAGCAAAAAAATGTAATATGTACAATTTTTTTTTTTTTTAATTCTAAATAATTTTATGCTCAAAAATGTATATGACTGAGTACGGGTATAAGTAGAGTCGCGTCCCCAGAAGCGACTCGCACGTTCCTTCTCGTTTTAAAGTGTATTGTAATTTGGATCCGTGCAAATGATGATCAGAGAAAAGAAGGATTAAGAATTTATGGAATCTAAGTATCGAAAATAAATTAAGAAAATAATATTAATAATTTTTTATTTATTTTAAATAAATATCTGTTTGTTTTTAAATAATTCAAAACTGATTTTCTGCTTATCCACACTGGAAGAGAGTGTGGACGTGCATTCTGGCTATAATTATTATTCGGTTCTTTATAAATATTTCTGCAGTCACGGTCCTCCCCTATCCAGAGTCTTTTCATATACAAATACTATTGTATTAATTACATATTATTAAATAAATTGTATTTCAATGATAGTTGTTATATATTAGCAACATAAGCATCATATTGCATCAGCCATTTCAAATGTACCACACACACACTAACACTATCACACCCGAATATATGTATGCGTAAATAACGCTGGAGAGAGTAATAAAATTCTGTTCTACTCGAGTTCTCACCCAGAATACTACGTTTTCTCCAACCCGAAGCATAACAATAGTTTTTCAACAAGCATTCAAGCCAATTATTATAAATTAATTGAGAAGCACACACGAATGTAGAAAATACCCTGAGAATGTCTCTTTAAATGGGTTTTATGCCAGATATCGATTCGATCTATGGGTCCCTTGTAGATATATAATACATACATATATGTTGTATCTGAAGATGACAGATGTAGCTGTATTTTCCAGGGCTGTCGAACGTTAGTATTGGCTGTCGCTTCGTCTGGAATAGCTACGAAATTTCTACCAGGTGGATGAACGGCTCCTTAAGCGCTGAAATTACCATTAAATATGAAATTCATTGACAAAATAAATACCTGCCTCAAATATTCAACTTCGAGGCGACATGTATAATGTACGGATCGCAACGGAAGCAACAATTTTGACGAGACCGTTTACACATAAAGGTTAAGATGTTATCATAATATAATATAATATAATATAATATAATATAATATAATATAATATAATATAATATAATATAATATAATATAATATAATATAATATAATATAATATAATATAATATAATATAATAAATATAAAGTTAATCTCGGCCACGTGTGCCACCAAATTGGTTGCGTTTTTTTTAAATGATAGCCAGAGGCAAGATTTGCATACAAAAATTTGTAATTTTCTATAAATAGCCCCCCTTACACAGAGATTTTTTTCAACAAATTTATAGTATAGATAAAGTTAATTTCTGCTCGATTTTCGAGCTTGGCTTGAGATTGGGTGTTACGGCATACGAGAGCTTCGTCGTCATCGGGACGCGTATATTTGACCGAAAAAACAAAAAGAGAGGCAACAAATCCAAAATATGAAATTCGATTTGTTGTACAGATGCGGCCATGCGGCCATGCGGCCCCGCCGCGATCGTTCGTTTTGGGGGTGTGTGTGTGTGAGGTTTTTTGGGGCAGTGGGGCGGTAAACCGTTAGCTGCTCATTGCTGGTCGCCTGTTCAATTAGCAAACTTGTTTTAAACTTTTTGACGCTTTGTGTTGTTTAGTTTTATAAACAATATAAAAACATTTATAAGAAGCAGATCGACAGACCACCGCCGAGCACCGTCCCGTCACGATCAGGGGAGCCGAAAGCGTGGCATACTAAAATTGCCCTTCTTGTTGCTGCTCCCAACCTCCCTCCTTACGATTGCACATCCGTCCCGTTCGCCACTCTGCTACGGCGTAGCTGTAAATCCGTAAAACTCTAGGAAATACGGTATTATTTTGTACTAATTCGAATAGGCGAGCAGCTTTCTAGAGAGAGCTGCCTCCGTATGTCATTTGGTGGAGGCCCTGACACCCATATACCCACATACATACATACATATGTATATGTAACACATTTCTAGTATATTTGTGTGTGTTCGTCAGTGCGTTGTTTGCTTTGTATATCTCTCTGGTTTCTGTCTCTGGCGATGGGTTACTGTATTTATGCGATACGTTGGGACTCTTCACAGAGCTGTACACTCATTTGTTTAAACAATAAATGCACTGACAGAAATTTTCTTGTGACTTTTAAGTGCCATAAGTGAAATTTAAGCCCTAATGAAATGGAGGGTGTTGGGTGACTCTTGAGAAAATATCCAAAATATTCCGCTATCCTACCTTAATTTCTCCAAGTGCAGGACTTATACAAATCACGTTTATCCAAAATTCAAGAGACCAGTGAGATACAAACGCCTCCACTAGATCACTGAACGCCTGGGATTTTGGATAAATGGTCAGCGTTGAAAAGCGGCAACAGAAATCGAAAGTACTTGTCAGAGATCTCCAGAAGATCGGGCCCCCACCCCCACCAGCGGCATGACAAAACATTTACACTACACAGAACAGCCCAACCGCCTCCCAGCCCCCACTTCGATTCAGTTCCAGCTGCGCGTGTGTGTCATTACTTATCAACTGTGGGTCTCGCCGGGTGTCTCGCGCCTAGCGTCCACCGCTGTACATACGTCACACGCTGGCAGTCCCAGCAACAGCCACAGCCCCCAGCCCCACCGAGAACCGACCTATCCACTTAACCACTTGAGCGAAGCGTGTGAATTGCATTCGACAAACGACTTTCAAACGCTTTCTGGGCGCTTGTTACAAAAAGTTTATAATTTCGTATTTAACAAAAAAATTAATGTTTTATAACTTGAGTGGGGAGGTGGACAAAAGTTTATAAACATTTGCAGGGCCCCCTCGCATGTGGGCTTCCAAAGAGCAACAAATAAAAATAGTACTATAATTTAACACCACCAGATTTGTTGTATCTATGTATGTATGTACTTGTGTATGTATGTATGTAAGCATGGGATCGGCGTAGCAACAAATAGAGATATGTAGGTTTCATATGCTACTTTATTTTAATTATATGTACAATTAGTGTACGAGTAAGTACGTATCCAAGTTAAGTCGGTGTAGTCTGTGGCTGGGCTACATATTCGTTCATTAAGTGTACATACAAACATATGTAAATATGTAAGCGTTTAGTTGTCGTTCAGCCCGGGGGCTGATGTCATCAAAAAGCATGACAGCGCATTAAAATTTGAGACACACAGCTTTCTTCTCTCTCCCTCGCACACTTCGGTTTTACGAACCGAACCGAACCGAAACGCAACTACAGCCGACGTCAGCGCTCTTGCTGTGCGCTCTCTCGCACTTACACTCAGTTTCTCCCCTGTCTCGCTCTCGCTCTCTCTCTCTCTCTGTATCCACCACCAACACAGTTGCTGGCTCTCTCTCTTTCGGTCAACGATCTTCAAAATTTGGAGCCCCAGAAGTTCAATGAACCGCCGAAAAAGAGAGCGCTGGCAACGCGATCCGCTTGTGGGGGCCGCTGTTCGCCTGATACCCGCAGCAGGCGTCTGATTTTTCTTTCTTTCGTGGAGCGCTGGTTTGAGCAGCGATCTTCGGCGCAGGTGGGTCAGGGGCGGTCGGTCCCTGAACGTGACACTGTTGGCGGCCATTTACCTTGGGCCCCGAGGGCTGTGCACGGCGGAGCGTTGAACCTTGAGCGGGGTCAATGCGAGGCGGATGCCCTCGGCACGGTCTCGCCGCCCTCGCCGGAAAGTAAAATCGAGGCCCAAAACTGGGTCAAGTGAAGCGCCAGCAGCGGCGAGGGCACACCACCGAGTGTTCCAGGGCCGAACCGAGTTCACTTTCGTTTTTTATGTAGAAATCGATAGCGGGCTTTGTTCGGGGAACAGGCGCGCAGCGACCACCGCAGCCAGATAAATGCCAACTCAGAGCGAGGGCCGACAGTCGTGCGTATCAAGCAAATTGTATCTGTATCTACAAGAGGACGCACCCTCCACCACCAGACCACTATACTACCGCTGTTGCGCTCTAGACGACAAATCCCAGTAACTGTGTGTCCGTCCGTACGCCCGTCCGTCCGCCGACTTCACTCTCGCTTTCAAAACATGATCGATAATATACAGGCAGCAGCTACCAGGCCAGCATAATGCCCCAGCTGCTGCACTGCACTCCACACTCCACACACAGCACACCACACCGCCACTCGCTCCATTTCTTTGTGACCTCGTTTACTGTTTCTGTTGCTCTGGCTGTGGCTGTTGCCTTGTTTCGTTTCGTTTCGCGTATTTCGTTGTTGCTTCTGGTTCGGTTGGGGGCTGCTGAAAACTTAAACAATGGAATCGTCCGTTCCGCGGGGAGAGCGGAAGAGGGCGACCAGAGCAAATCTGGCGCTATCTCGGTTTATACGATTATATTAAAATTAAATGATAGAGGTGCACCTAACGGGTATTAGTATGTTGTCTGTAAACTATAGGGATAGGGATTACATCTAAATAGTTACATATTAAATCCTGTATTTATGGAAGCTAAATTTATGATCCCATTAGTAATTATGTATATTCCCTAGTACATACTCGACTTCCAGGTGTGAACAAATGTACATATACATGGCAGACTATATTTTTATTTATTTATAAATCACAATCATTCTATAAGCCCTTCTGCTGATTATGGGCTCCACACAGATACCGATACCGATGCAGATACCGACGGTTTGTTGTTGCTGCCTGGCTACCTTCCATTTTGTTGTTGTATCCATTGTGAAGCGCGCTTCTGGTTTTCCAAGGTTTTCCAGTTCGATCAGGCAACAACCTCAAGGTTTCCTTGATATAAAATTACTGCCAAGTTAGTGGCAGCAGCGGCAGCAGCGGTGTTGCTGGCCCTCTTCTGTTGGCCTGGCCAAAATAGAACAGCAACGGTTTCTAAATAGTCAAATCCGTCGCCAGCGACTGCGACTGCGACTGGCGACTGCTCTCGCCAGCCAGCCAATACAATTCTCATTTTTCGGCAAAACAAATAGTGTTTTGCTTACGCAAATTTGTACTGCCCGCCGACAGGCAGCCGGCTAGACAACCGGCCCCGCGTATGTGATTAGTTTTTTCGTACTATTTCGAACCGGCGCTCAGCTCCGCGTGGAGCTGACGGCGACGGACGACGACGACGACGACGACTACGGCGGGGCAGCATGAAATATTTATGCTGATACAAAACAACGAACGCGTACGCGTACGCAGCCGAGAGTGCCATTCAAATCGACGTGAAACAACAATTAGTATTCAAGGTTAACCAGAAACAAACTGAAAGCCAACAGCGTCAGCGACAACGACAACTACAACGGCGGTGATGGCGACGAGCCCCAGATGCCAAGTGGGGGATCGCCGATGGGGCAATTGTTTCAACAGAACCTTCATACATACATATACTCCTCTCGAGCTAGAAACCGGTTTTATTTAACTTTTTACTGTCACAATTGTGCAGCCATTGATCCAAGCTAGGCCAATCCTGGTTCTCATTGCAGATAAAAGTTCAGTTTTAAAAACTTCGAATTTCACTTTCAAAACCAAAAGGTGAATGCCAGTAGAGAATTGAAGGCAATAAAATCAAATATTCTGCATATGTCATGTAGATATGTAGATACGATCCGACTTACCTATGGACCATAAAACCATATACATATGTATGTACATACATATATGTATGTATGTATGTAATCTTTTTTCTGCCAATCGACTCGTTCGTACTGTGACTCAACCATCAGAGTTCATGATGTGGTCATCATGTGGGTATAATATTATGTTGGCGGCGTCAAATCAGTTTCTGTTTCTGCTTCTGCTTCTGTTTCTGGCTAGCAGCGGGGTTCAATGAACTCCCTGGGCCCTGCCCAACCAACCTTTGGCGTGCGGGGCAGCCGGCAGCAGAGATCGCTGGGCACCTGGTCGCTTGCCCCAACTCAATTTCCTAGATAGTTGATGGCGTCTTTGCTGTTGGAAAGCGACAAGCACGGGCCCGGCCCCCCTTATGATTTATGGGGGCTCTCAGAGAGCGGGGGGCCAACACAAAATTCACTTTCGATTTTAATTTTCGTAGGAAGCTTTTTATAATTTGGAACAGGCGCCCAGCGTAGGGCCACAGGGTCTCTGCCGAATCGAGTGGAGATCGCCCAGCCCAGCGTGTGGTTTATTATCAGCTTTCGAAGTGGAGCTCTTCTGGTTGTCTCTGTTCGACCCATGGGTCTGGCTACTGGCTACTGGCTACCGGCTCTTGGTGTGTGGAAGTTTCTGTAGTCGTCGCGACGGCTGGCTGTTGTTTTCATGGTCGCTGACCCACTTTTGGCGCGTGTTTGCTCGTGAAATGTTTTCGACTTAAACTCTGTGTTTTTGGTGTATTTTGTGCCACTCAAAATGTCATGCCTCCATGGAAATCCGGAATTTACGAGTACGCTGCTGTACGCTGCTGCTGCTGCTGCTTACAGGTCAGGGGTGCGGCTCCCTCGCACGGAAATCCACTGTAATCCCCTTGGGGATCATAATTAAGCCACAATAACTTGTCATATTTAAGCCGGTCTGACAATGCTCTTGCCTGTTACTTAACTTGCAGTACCCCCCCCCGCCCCCGCCACAGCCCCACACCACACACTCCAATCCCGCAACAGCAATACACACAACTCATTTACACCTCTCTGATGCTGTTCTACCAATCTTGCCTCTCCCATTGCAGGGCTGACTGTGGGGCTGCGCGATGTCAATGTTCGCATCCCATCGGCCGTTAAGCGCGGCGATAATGCGCTCTTAATCTGCAATTATGACATCGAGAACGATACGCTGTACACGGTGAAGTGGTACAGGGGCCGCAGGGAGTTCTATCGCTACACGCCAAAGGAGAATCCGGCCTGGAAGATATTCACGAAAACGAATGAAATCGATGTCGAGGTAAGTGTCTGTCTGCCTCTTTGCATGAGGATGCGGATGAAGATGAGGATGATGATGATGATGATGTTGATGTTGATTGAAAGCGAAAGACAGAGAGCCAAAAGCCAAAGAGTTGCCTCATGTAAATTGCTTTAAATAACTGTACGCTGACGGCATTAACGATGGTGGCCCCAGTCCCAGCCTGCCTCACAGGAAGTGTAAACAGTGGGCCCTGGCCTCTGCCCCTCTGCCCACAGTGTGCGTGCATCGATGTTTGTTTAATGCATGTTAAAAAGTTTTAATTAACAATTTTGACTTTTCATTTGCTGCGAATGCTTCTGCTGCGACGTTGTCTGTGCATTTATTGTTGACTTTTGCTGACATTTCGATATTAAAAACGACGGAGAGGAATGACAAAAAGCACGCATGAAATAAATAATACAAAAAAAAAATATGAAACGTAAAACTGCCGGCAGGAAAAACGTTGATGTCGATGGGCAGGGCAGGGCAGGGCTGACAGGCGTATCTTATATAAGCACTCGTGTAAATGCATTACGCAAATAGCTGTGGGCTGTGGGCTGTGGGCTATGGAGTGGCACGGGATCTGCAACAAATTAATTGCTCGCAATTATGAAGAACAAGGGGCCAAACGATTGGAAGCGAAGTGGAAATCCCTTAGGAAAAGCGGATCAAATTAGGAGATTTCTCGCCAGTTTCTTTTAATTGAAAGAACAAATTGCAACCTAGAAAATAAGATATACTACTATTATTATGTTTGGGATATGTTTCTACTTCATACGATCCCTCCTGTGCACACAGCTTGAAGCGAATGCGAATTTAAGAAAATAATCTCCCTTTCACAGACAACTCAATCGAATGCCAGCCATGTGCTGCTGCGAAATGTCCCCACCTCGATATCGGGGAAATTCGCTTGCGAAGTGTCCGCCGATGCGCCCACCTTCGACACCTCCATTGTGGCTGCCGACATGGAGGTTGTGGGTAAGCCCTGAAAGAAATGCGTCCAGCTGAATGCTCTTAATGAATATAAGTTTCTTTTTGATGAAGAATTACCCACCCAACGACCGATTATAACTGGCATTCACTCCCGCTATCGCCTTGGAGACATCGTCAATGGCAACTGCTCCTCGGACTACTCCAAGCCGGCCGCCAATCTCACCTGGTGGATCAATGACATACAGGTGCCGCCCAATTACTTGCGCATCTACGAAATCCAGCGCCACCTGGCCGAGCACCTGGAGTCGGCTGTTCTGGAGATCAATTTCGTGGTGACTGTGCATCACTTTATCAAGGGACGCTTGAAGGTGGGCTCCGATCTAATCAAACCCGCTAACTAGCCGTAATTAATGTCTTCTATTATGTTACAGCTCAAGTGTTCGGCCCGTATACACGATATCTATGCACAGGAGAGCGAGAAACTGCTCGAGGAAGATCGCCCGAGGATTCTGGCCTCCGGCCGCTCCCCAGACATGAACATGTATCCCTTCGATCAGCCCGGGGATGTGGACGAGCACAACGAACTCTTCTTGACACATAAAAGTAAGTACAAGTAGCTAAGGGTAGCCCGAGGCTTCACGTCAGGATAATATAACCTAAACTAAAACCAACCCCGTTTTGGAATGTTTCTAAAAATACTTTAGCAGTCCCTAAATAGTTTGTTCTAGCAATGGGGGTAATCAATATCTCATTTGATTAACTTTCGCACATTATTCAATGAGCTTTGGGCTCTGTTGTTCTCGTTGCTTAAAAATTAACCTTCAGATAAGCAACGGCCACGCCCTAATGACGGGCAGATGTAGAACTTGGCCTGGACTGGACTGGACTGGACTGCCGGAAGGGACTGGGGGACTGTGCCCTTTGGAGCTCTGCGGCCTTACAAATCTTGGCCTGATTGTTTTTCCAACGGAAACAAATGCACACTGGGATAACACAGGGGATACATTTACACGCACGCCATTAGAATGATAAAGTGTGGGGCATTAAATCAAAGTTGGCGAAAAAGGACGAGCCACCTTATTAGCTCGTTCCCTCTGTTCTGTGGGGCTGTTGTGGGGGCAGTGGCCATGGCAACGATTTATTAATGCTCTGCGCTAAGCTAGAAGCAATTAATTCAAAGATTAATTTGACCAGCGGGTGCCCTCTCTCCTCTCTCCACTCTCCTCTCCTCTCCCAAGCTGATTTCAATGTTTTGGCTGTACCAGTCTCTAATCCGCCCTCCTCCCTCTTTCAGATGCTGGCTCGTCTGCCGCCGGACTGCGGCTGGCCCTGGTCAACGTCAACTGGAACTGGAAATGGAACCTGATGCAGGGCAATCAGCTGCTTACCTTCCTGCTGCTTGCACTTCTGTGGCCGGCCATCTGGCTGTGTGCCTGGCGGCACTTCGGGTGCACCGAGTGGCAGTGGAACAGGAACCTGTTCTGGCACAGTTGCTGCAACTCCGATGAGGCGGAGCGGTGATGAGTCGGCCGCGGCAGGAGAGATGGACTTCAGGCAGGACACAGTGGAGTGGGCTGGCCGACGAGGCTTTAGTTTCAGGTTCATCGAATTCGGTAGACGGCGAACCCCTCTGGATCATCACCGAAACAATTATAGAACTCATAATATACATACACACATACATATATACATATAGCGAATCGAATAGCAAATTACGAATACAGAATTGAGAGCAGAGGTCCTCAGCATACCGAACATACCTACTCACATATACCTATACCTATGTTAAGTACGTAACTGTAAAAACCATACAAACATTTTCAAAATGTTGCATCCCCCACTCCGCAACCCCACTGCCCAACTCGTATGTACTTATTGTATCCCCTGTCTACCCCTACCCGAAGGAAGCGCCACCCCCTCGAACCCCAGCTAACCCTAAGTCAAGTGTAAATAACCATAGGAGCCATCACAATCGCCATCGCCATCACATACTCACATGCATGTACTCTTTAAGCCAGATTTCCAACGATTGCTTTCCCTCGGTGCGTCAGGGGGCTAAGGATTGCGGTTTCCCGATGGGGATTACCCATAGTTCTGTTCGCATCTGTATCGAAGAGTGTTGGTTTGAAAAACTGTACAACTATTTAGCAATATAGTTATTTTGTTTGTTGTGATCCTCAGTTAAAAGTGTGCGAAAGGACTGTTGAACGAAGCCAAATAAAGATTCTTTTATTTGATCAAAATTCAGTATTTTCATCTGCCAAGCTTCGTGGAAGGGTAAGTTATGATAAAAAAGTAGGGAAATCCAATTATGAATATTAATGCATTGTAGTCTGCATTAAATCTGCTCATAGTACGGGGTGTGTTGCAGGCCAAGCCTTATGCAAAGTGACCCATGGGTAGGAGACTACCAGAGGGATTTTTTTTAAGCGTTTGAGCTGTGTCTGTCAGCATATAAAATTATAGCAGATAATCTGTGCTAATTCGAAACGAGAGCCAAATGTCCGAGCGTAGCGACAACCGAAAATGTATTTTATTCTGCATCTTATGACGATTGCCAGTTGACAGTAGAGATATTAAGATAGACAGACAGATAGGTGGGGACTTGCAAAATAATTGTTATATACGTTAACCACCTACGCTAGATAGATGCATAGATATATAGATAGATAGATAGATAGATAGATAGAGATAAATTCCAATTGTAGAGTCAAAGAGTATTCCCCATTCTAACGAATTCGAACAGCTTTGCAGTCTGCCCCATTAAAGATCAATCTATCTAATAATAATAACCTCGTTCGGTTGAATAACTTTCTTAGCTCTGTAAGACGCCCATTATTCTTGTATTTGTGTCTGCCATTCAGCAATTATCCATTTCTTATATGTTTTTTTTGTGTTCGTTTTTCGGTTGACCCCTGAGTCCATTTCTGGCTAAGTGTAAAATATTACGGCGTCAACTGCAAAAATAAGCCAACAAAAAGGGCCAAAATAAGAGGGGGAGCATAGGACAGGGGCAGCAACAAACACAAGTGAAAAACTTGTAATTTACGTGGCAGCGGGGAAAAACAACGGAACGCCAGCGACAGACAGGGCAGACAGACAGACAGCCGGAGTGGAGTCCGAGTCAGTGGAATGACACGGAAAACAGCGTCAAATGGGTTGGACTGCTTCTGCTCCTGCTCCTGCTCCGAGTGTGGGTGTGTTTTGTATCTCAAAAAAGCATTTGGCAACAACCACCGCACAAAGCCATGACAATTCTCAGTGGGTGTGGCTGCATGGGTGTGGGTGTGGGTGTGGGTATGGGTATGAGTGTGTGGGTGGGGTCTGTCGTTGGGTGCATACTTTTCAGCGCGCGTTGGTACTTTGCTGGTGGTGCTGATGCTGCTGCTGCTGCTTGCAATTTCGCACTCGACTGCATCTGCATCCTGCATCCTGCCTCCTGCATCTCTGTGTGGGCGCGTCTTTGCTAAGCATCTGAATGTAGAAGGGGGTGCAGACTGTTGCAAAAATTTATTGTGCATGTGAATGGGCTGCTGGCACCCAGCGTGCGCAGTGTCTATGCGTGGGCTTGCTTTGCCAGCCAGGCCAATTGCTTGAAAATGACTTTTGGCAGGGCAAAAAGCAAGCTGCAGCAGGAGCAGAGGCATGGCAACGGTCAGCAGTGGCAGATGCAGAGGCAGAGGCAGAGGAGCTGCTTAATGGACAATCGAAAACGCATTCAACCGGCAATTTCGGTTTGCTCCCGCCGTGGCGCCGGTCATCGCCGCTGATGCCACGTTCGGCAAATTGATTTCCGTTTGCGGTCGCCTGCCAGCGTCAACAGGCCACCGACGACAGGCATTGCCGTCAGGTGGTGCTCTCATTAAAACTGCACTGAAAAAGAACAGATCGGCAGGACGAACAAAAGGAGGAGGAGCAGGAGGAGCAGGAGGATGAAGCGCAACCACTTGCCGTTGTCAAAAGCATTCAACCACTGGGAAGGAGCACTGAGCCACTGAGGCGGAAGAAAGAGAAGCGGGCATCGTAAGCTTTTTTGCAGTCCTGTTTCTGACTTGCATGGAACACACAAACATTTGTTAATTACTTTTTGCGACTGCCCGGCGTGTGTTCGCATTGGCGTTGGCGTTGGCGCTGGCCCCGACGTGGTCGCAGAAAACGAAAATCGGATTCATTTTGCAATCCCTTTTTTTTGGGCAGGGCACCGGGAACGGGCCCGAGAGTTTGTCGGCGCCCCAAGAGCTGTCCATTGTTATAGAAGCGTTGAAATTGAAATTAAGCAATTTAACTTTGACAATTACGACATAAAAACATCGCCGTTGAACATGAAAAACAGACAAGCTGCAGTGGAAAACAAATTGAAAAAAGAAAAAGAAAAACCATCAAATCGGGGTGCGAAAGAGAACCACAAAACGAATTTGGGGACAACTTTTCCAAAAAAGGACTTCCATTAAATATATATTAATTGTAAATGATTAATGCTTCGGCACTTGAGCCATAACTTTCTGATAAAAGAAATATTTAAGCAAAAGATCAGGTGTATGAAAAATATGGAAATAACCCTTGTGCTCCAAAACATTTAAGTGAACTCTTTTGGGGGTTTCTATAATTTATTATACAAAAAATGTTAGCATGTTTTTGGGCTGATATAAGTTATAGAACAAATCAACTCACTGTTGGTTTTATCCCACAAGGAAGATGGGAATGCTGATGCATTCATTGATTAATTATTTGAGCTTTAAAATTCATCAATATCCATATTCCGTGGAACTCAGTTGCGAGGTGCGATTGTAAATGTCTAACGATTATGGCGTTGAATCAACAAACGAACCATTGCAATGGATCCAATGCATTGGATCACGTGTATCGGAGTCTAATGACAACGATGCTGCAGTTGAAGCTGAAGGTTTTCTGGTGGTCGGGAATACACCTTGATGATCCTCCATCCTCCGTGTGGTTGACAGTTCAGTAGCTCTTAAGGACTGGAGTCCATTCCCTCGATTCCTTGATACTGTTTACAGGTTCTTACTTGCAATCGGCCAAAAATACTCAGCGTTTAATAAACTCAGCTCGTGCTGGCAAACACCTCGTTCGGGTCAATTTTTACTCACCAAATGGCAGCTTCGTGTACAATACATCTAACATCCCCTGGAGTATCAGCACCTGCAGTCTGCTGGTATTATGAATGCATTAATCGCTAGGGGAATCCATCGCTTATTAATGCCTCACTTGTTAGTGAAAGTCATCAGTTATAAATCGATTACTGCTCGCTTACTATGCACCCGCCAAAATATGTACCTGCTTGACTCGAGCCTCGCATTTAGGGCAGTTTTTCTGTTTTTGGTTTTTGGAAATGGAAATTTCGTGCAAACGCAGATAATTTCGGAATTTCACAGTTTATTAATTTCACAGTTTATTAATTTTCTACAACGCGCAATAGAAAGTGAAACACTGCACTAACTTGATAAGACTTTTTCCCAAAGTAACTAAGCCAGCGGCTCACTTATCCCCCCACAATTGTATCGCAACAACTGTATGGGGGGGGGGGATTTGTATGTGTAAACGTTTTTGCCATCATCCGAATCCGTTCTCTGCGAAGTACACAAACAAAAATGCACAAAATGATAATTATAAATTGTTTAAAATTTGGGATGCTTTGCTCGTGATTCCGACGGGGATAAAGTAAACACTGCAGCAGAACTTACCCCAGGGCAGTCATGGTCGCCTTGGTGTACCCTACTCTACAAATCCATCTACTTGAATGCCGAGGGGTGGATTTGAGCACCGATACCAAATTACGAAATTTCGAAGGCAATTCGTAAGGCAAGGGAGTGCGTTTTATTTCACGGTCACGCATGTCAATTGGCACTTCATAAAAAAGTAAAAAATAATAGAAATAATTTTGTGGGGGCCCGCCCAATAAATAGCCCCATCTGCGACGAGAAAGAGCCCAGTGCTTGAATCAGTCTGCGAGCGAGCGGACCGGACCGGATAATCGAGAATGGTGTGGGGCTCCTTTATGCTCGTGTGCGTCCTGGCGCTGGCCAGTGTGGGTGGAGTGAGGGCCCGACAGGGATTCGGACCCGGCGACCAGGACTGGGGCTATGTGGACGTCCGGGAGGGGGCGCACATGTTCTACTGGCTCTACTACACCACGGCCAACGTCAGCCACTACACGGAACGTCCGCTCGTCCTGTGGCTGCAGGGCGGACCGGGCGGAGCCTCTTCGGCGCTGGGCAACTTCATGGAGCTGGGACCCGTGGACATGCACGGAGAGCCCCGCGAAGGCAACTGGGTGCAGCATGTCAATCTTCTCTTGATCGACAGTCCCGTGGGGTCGGGCTACAGCTATGTGGACAACACAAGTCTGCTGGTGGCGAACAACGAGGAGCTCACCGAGGACCTAATGACCTTCATGCTGTACTTCTACAAGGCCCACAAGGAGTTCAAGAGCGTGCCCCTGCACATCTTTACGGAGAGCTATGGCGGCAAAATGGCCCCGGCGCTGGCCCTGAAGATGGACCTGGCCATGAGGAACGGCGAGCTGGCCGAGCCCAACACCCTGAAGTCTGTTAGCATGGGCAATCCGTGGATATCGACGCGGCACATCTGTCGCGAGCACTCCAGGTACATGCTGGTGAACGGCCTGATCGACGAGGACGGTGCCAAGCTGATAGACGCCCAGGCGGAGAAGATCCTGCTCGCCCTCAAGGTGCACAAGTTCGAAATGGCCACGGACGAGTACCTGGAGTGGTTCGATCTCATGCAGAACCTCACTGGCGAGGTGTACCTCTACAACACGCAGACCCATGTCGACCCGGAGGAGGATCGCACCTATGGCTACGGGGACGACTTGAACCGCTTCATGCAGGAGAATATCAGCGACGCCCTGCAGATCAACGGCAGCATCTACAAGGCCCAGGTCATGGACGTTTTTGTCACCTTGCACGGCGATCGCCTCAAATCGGAGATAAACACGAGTAAGTTTCAGACCGCCTGATAGCTACCATCGATATAGCCATCGACTATAATCGAATCTGTACCCGCATCTGCTCTCCTAGTTCCTCGTCTGCTGAACGAGACCTCCGTCAAGATCAACATCTTCTCGGGACAGCTGGATTGCCTGGTCCCCACCACAGCCACCCTGGCCGTGATCAAAGATTGGGCCTGGCACGACAAGGCGGAGTACGTTGAGGCGCGACGCACCCCCATCTTCGTCGGGGACAGACTTCAGGGCTACGAGAAGGTCGGAGGTCGGTTCGGCATGTACTGGATCAACCGCTCCGGGCACCAGGCCCCCCTCGACAATCCCACTGCCATGCAGTATGTCTTGAAAGCCGTGACACAGTACAACGAACAGCAGCTGGATGCTGAATAATAATTAGGTTTACGTATAATAAATGTACATCTGCAATCAGCGTGGTATCTTTTGGGTCCGACTGCCAGACTGCCAGATGCTGCGGGCTGTGCCGTGCTGACGTCCTATCCGGCCTCCCGAAACGTCCGGTCCGAGTGTAAACAAACGGCGGGACGGCCAACCACCGTCGCGTCGCTTCGCGTCGGGGGTCAATGTTTACCTTATGGCAGAAGAACCCAATTCCAGAGGTGAATTTACGTAGTGGTCTAAGGTGTGTATGTGGTTCACGAACTCTCCAGCGAGGGCCAATTGTTTACCGCAGAGCAGCGACTGAACGCTTTCCACTTTATAAATAGCAATTGGCCGAAAGCTGCAGCCCGTTCAGTGCGCATTTGTGGATACAGCAGCACACACGGCACACACGGCACACACGGCAGAGATCCGAGATAGCCAGCAGACGTTGAATTCCGGCCGAGGCAATGCAGCTCTATAGTCAGACGAGTGCCTGGACATGGGGCCTGCTGCTCCTGCAGTCTCTGTCCTGGGTGGAGGGTGAGTTTGCCACGCGGAGAGAGTATCCATAACTATCGAAAGCCCCTCCCTAGGACGAGTGGGCTTGGGACCCGGCGACCAGGACTGGGACTATGTTGAGGTGCGAGAGGGCGCCCACCTGTTCTACTGGCTGCACTACACAACGGCCAATGTCAGCGCATTCACGGAGCGGCCCCTGGTGATCTGGCTGCAGGGTGGACCCGGTGTGGCCTCCTCGGGCTGCGGAGTCTTCGAGCAACTCGGGGCCATCGACATCGAGGGTCGTCCGCGAGCGAGCAACTGGGTGCAGCACTTGAATGTGCTCTTCATAGACAGTCCGGTGGGAACGGGCTTCAGCTACGTGGAGCCGCACGGTCGGTATGCCAGGAACAACTCCCAGATAGCCCGAGATCTGGTCGCCTTGATGCAGGTGTTTCTCAGCAGGTATCCGCAGTTTCAGGCCGTTCCGCTGCACATCTTCTCGGAGAGCTACGGCGGCAAGATGGCCCCAGAGTTTGCCCTCGAGCTGCACCTAGCCAGGGGGCGCGGACAGGTGAAGTGTCGGCTGGAGTCGGTGGCTGTCGGAAATCCCTGGACCTCCCCTCTGGACAGCATTCTCGCCTACGCGCCCTTCCTCCTGCAGCTGGGCATTGTGGACGAGGACGGGTATCGCAACATATCGCGGGTCGCCGCTCAGATAGCCAGCCTCGTGTACGACGAGAAGTGGATAGGAGCCCTCGAAAAGGGCTCCACCATCCAGGACGTGATTGGCGCCTACACAGACGGCGTCTTTCTGTACAACACGCAACGGAGGGTCCATCTCGACGAGGTCTATCGCTATGGCGAGGATCCGAAGATGAGCGACTTCATGCGCTCCAACGTGACCGAGGTCCTGGGCCTCGGCCACATGCCGGAGTGGATGCTGCAGAACGCCACGGTCTTCATGCACCTGGGCAGCGAAATCTTTCGACCTGCCATTCACATAGGTAACATAGCATCTCCGCCATCTCCCAGCTAGCTACACCTAATCAATGTCTGTGCCCTTCCCTTGCTATGCAGTGACTCGATTGCTGGACGAGACATCGATCCGCGTGGGCGTTTATTCTGGCATCCTGGACCTGCTCTGCGCCACCCCGGGCACCGTCAACTGGATCAACCGCATGAGGTGGCGCCGCAAGGCTGCGTACGCTGGATCGCCCCGCAAGTCGTTTCGCATCGATGGCATGCTCGAGGGGTACGAGAAGCACGGCGGCGGCCTGAGCATGTTCTGGGTGTACCGTGCGGGGCATCTGGTGCAGCAGGAGAACCCAGCGGCAATGGCCCACATCCTGCGATACTTTACCAGCCACGGATGATGTCGCAGAACGCTTATTGTTCTATCATTAAAGTAAACCCGTTCAAATATATCGATTCGAGCGTGTTAACCTGCCCAAGAATACTTCTAATTAAATGGCATAATTCTTATGACACGGCCACAGCTCCGCCGCAGCAACCAGTTGGGGGAAACAATTTTCTAACAATTTACTCGAAATTAACTCAAATTCGGATGGCAGGCTCCTTCTTCCGCTCCATTCCATCTCTGGTTGCCGTGCGGTTCGCCGCACCACACGGACAGACATTCGTCTGGCGTACCGTACCCAACTTTCCCTCTGCCATCTGCCCTCTGCCATCTGCCATTGTTAGGGCATTTTACAGGTGCACCGCATCAATTTATTTTCCACACAAAAGCCTATTAAAACTCTTACACACTTGGGCATTGATGAGTGGCTGGGATGGGGGGGAGCTGGTTCTGGGTCTGGGTCTGGGTAAATGTTTAGCCAAATGAAACCACTTAACCTTTTTTTCCTGCCTTTCCGTCGAAAGAGAAATGAGCAGGAGGCGGCAATTGCGAGGACGAAGGCAGAAAAAAAGGGGCGTTGAAGCCAGAACCGCAGCAAAACAAATTAATTAAAAACTTAAAAGTTCGTCTATGGAAACGCCCCAACGGGGAGGAGAATGAAGGAAGACACCGAAGGAACCGAAATGCGCTGTGTAAGGTCGTTTTGTCCCCGGAAGTACAGACACTCGATTTAGCTCTATACAGCATTGAATCTGTATCAGAACCCAATAATTATCCAGAAGCTATCGATCTTGCACATGGAATCTATTATTACCACCGCTGAATTATTACTTCCAATATATTCAGTGATGGATATTTAGGCAATTGATTTATAGAAGACACGAAAGGAGGAAGCCCATCACTTTCCCAAATCGAGGGCGGGAATGCACGAACATTATTTATCGTATTGCATTTGATGAAATTAATTTTCCCGATACTTTTACATGACTCTTCATTGGACTATCACTCACGTGTGCTTGTCATCAACAACTAATTACGAAATACTTACAGGGGAGAAAATTGTAATTGTAATCAAATAACAATTGCCGCAAGACTCGCGCAGATCCAGCTCCGCTCCCGCCAATGCATGCTAGTGGATGGTTTTTCTATTCGCGTTCCACACGAACCGCGCTCCGTCACGTCAACGCCCAAGTAATTTTCACACAACTTAGCGCCACATATCGTGCATATTAATTATAGGCAAATCTAATTTGGCAAGACGACCTCTCGCCACCGGCAACCCGGCAGCCCGGCAGCCCGGATCAGAACCAGACAGTAGTCACGTAGTAGGAGGATTGGGGAACCGAATCCGAATCCGAACCGAACCCGTGGCTGGCTGGCTTCAAGTATGTGGATATAATGCTCCTGCACGTATGCCACAAGTTCCCGTGGGTTCAGCTCCGCTGGGTTGTGTGACTGCCACGTCTCCAGATCGGGGCGAGAGCTATTGTAGCCATGTCAAATATTTATAGGTAAGCATGCCAGGATTTGCCACGCAGCCCACAAATTGCTGTTGTATGTACGCACGAGTGTGTGTATGTACATATGTATGTATGTCGCATGTGGGTATTTTTCTGGCCAAGGGTAAAATAAATTAAATGTCTTCTGGAAACAAAGGAAAATTCTTCCAAGAAAAATGTTGCTGCCTCCCCCTTAACTGTGCACAAATTCCGGAAACAAAGGTGAATAAATGGGTGCTAATTAGTTAACAGTCAAATGCACATGTTCCACCGATTCCACCCTGCAGCCTCCCCTGCTCACCTGCTCCCCTGCTCGAGATGAAAATCTGCCAAAGTAAGAAAAAAAAACTTCGTTTGGCTGAGAGAGCTGCTCGTGGCTCATACACACATAATTTATTCTATAGGGGTTGTCAATTTGGGATAGCACTGACCCTCAGGGGAAGCGTCTAGCCTGCAGTGGCATGTCAATAGTTTATCCAGAAGGTGACCCGCCTCGTTGAAGAAGATCTCGAGGTTTTCGGCGTCGCGGAACATGTCATTTCTGAGTATGATCTGCTCTCCATTCCATACTTTCCATTTGCGCATATTCTGGATGACATATTCGCAGAAGCTCTGCTTCTTTGCCATCTGTTGAGCGCGCACCTTTTCCAGGAACATGCGACGTTTGCCTGAGGAAATGCAGGAAAAGTAACATTTGAAATATATATATATATACATATATATAAGGGTGTAGATATCACTTACGCTCGGCTTGATTTTGCTGGATTTCGTGCACAGTCGGATCCACGAGTGACTTCTCGTACTCAAAAATGATCTTGAATATGCGATTGTCCACGATTGTTTTGGTCAGAAGCGATTCGTCGTACTGCGGAGAGCAGTCCATGTTGAAGTTGGGTCCGCTGTAGGGTATGACAGTCTTGTATTCCGACTTCTGGAACAACCGGCGTCGCTCCTCCGCCTGGGCTGTGCGACGTGCCATCAATCCGAGGACGCCGCCGTTGCAGAAGCGGAACACCATGCTGGCCATTATCTTCTCGACTTTGGACAGGCATCTGGAAGGGGGATCAAGGAGAATAAGACCAGATGCTATGGGGTATAGGGATGCTATGGGATACTCACTCGGACTGGCGCAGCGAGTAGACACCCGGTAGCTCTTGGGTCCGCATTAGGTGGTGCAGCTGGAAGGCCACGCAGTACAGCAGCTCCTGGGCGGCATAGGTCTGCATGCGGCGCAGAGTGTTCGCGTCATGCACCGTGTTCCTGATCCACCAGCCCCGGAAGAGCGACTGGATCTTGATGGCCGACCGGTTGTAGTGCTCGACAAGGTTGTCCTGGAGGCGCTTCTCGACGTCCAGTGACATGTGGCTGCGCACCCGATAGCCGCGCCACCACCGCTCGACGGTGATGGCCGCATCCCACCGCAGATGGTTCCACTTTCGGACCCGATAGCCCCGCCAGAGGGTCTGGATGCGCCGGGCAGCGATGAACTGCTTGTAGTCTAGTACGAGCACCGATGTCCTTGAAGGCGAGGGTATCGGACTGGTATTATCAACTATTACCTTTCGCCTAGACTCACCTTGACATCTTCACTTCCAACGAACATGGCTCGCTTTCCTCCTCCAGGACGGCATTTCTGTGGGATGGGACGAGTTTTAATCATTTGGACCTTGATTTGCTGGTTTATTTGCCTAGTTGCTGGAACTTACTCCACGGAGAAATCAGCCTTGCTGATCCTACCATAAGAAGAGGAGAACAGCAAATTATCGCTGAACATGTTCTGTTTAGAGTAGTTTCTGTTTGTTGAATATTTGAATATACATATGTATGTGTGGAGCTGTCTTGTCAAGCAAAGCAAGTGAGAGTCCAACCCCAGAGATGATACTTCGATACATCGCATTGATATCGTAACAAGCATCGATCTTTACTTTTCATCTCCATATTTTTCGTTGTTTGATACAATTTTGCTTGCCCCCAAAACGGTAAACGTGAAAAGTATACAAACAGCGTCGCGGCAGGAAAATAGATTAGATTGCACGTCAACGGCAATGAAGTTCGTCTCGAGGGGAAGACAATAAAAAGTCAACGTCTAAAATAATTTAAAGGTGAAAAATTGTCTGATAAAGTTAAGAGAAGAATGCCATCGACGCGTCGGAAGAAGGATGGAGACGCCTCCAGGGGCTGACAAGCGTTAACTTTCCAATGTTGCCCCTGTCCTATGGTATTCCATCTCTGCTCCCTGATTCCCCATCCCAGGTCTCTCCCTGTTTCATGCGCTCAATCAATTTTTTGTCAATTTTTACTTCATTTTTCGGTTGCACGCTCCTTGGCACTGCTCACGTTTGGGTTTATTTATTCCCCTTCCAATCGATGTCGCAGCTCTCTGCGTCTACCCTGTCACGATGACAGCCCCCCGATGCGATGATGTGTGCTGATATTTGACTCTGTATTGTGTGCACATCATCTGTTCTCAAATTATCGTCAAGTACAGCAATGGAGTCAAGCACAAGCTTGTTGGCTGCTGTTGTAAACTTGCTAGAAATGTAATTGTTTTCTTACAGAGAAATTAAATGTACATATACTCTATATATACGATTAGCTACATACATATTTCACACACTGTCTAATGTTAAAGAACTTTCTGTATTTTTAATCAACAAAGTTCTATTCGTTCCGATCTGGCCAGTTTCAATTTATGTACATATAACAGGGAGTGAGCAAGTCGGACCACTGAAGGAGCATTGCAATGCATTGGTAGATGAAAAGCAGTAACAGAAGAACGAGAAACAACAGCAGATAAGCAGCAAAAGGCAGAGGAAGATCAGCAGAAGGAGAGTAGTAAGAGGATAATTCAAGCAGCCGGATGTAGCATGGAACAGCAGCAGCAGAAATCAGCCGATATCTAGCAGTGACAGAAAGCCCAATTATTCTTACTTAATATCAATAAAACTATACCTAAATAATATCTAACATACTTATACATATGTACATATGTATGTACCTACAGAAATTGCCTGTATAATTTTCCCTTTCAGCCTGAAAGATGTTACATATATTTAAACATACATAGGTACATATGTATGTATGTATGTCCCGTCTCTCATGTGTATCTGCAATAAGAAAATCATTGTGGAATATTCTTTATAAACTTGTTAGAATAGAGCTTTACCCATTAAGATAACTAGCATACGCATACACACACACACACACACACACACACACACACACACACACACACACACACCATACTCGTACAGTCAACGTACATTTGGCGCGCCGCAAAGTATGCAATCAATTTTTATAGCCCACATGCAGCGCCCAAGCCGACCCGAGCCGACTCGTTCCCGTTGACTCACCAAAAGCTCCACAGGAGTCTGCTGCCTCTTGCGCGCTGCCTCTGTTGCTGTTACTGTTGCTGTTGCTGTTGCAATGTTTCACTAATAATTTTCAATATAATCAGCACCTGTGACGATGTCGAGCGTTGAGCGTCGAGCAACGACGAGGAGGCATTCGCACAAATGTTCCTAATGTATAAACATTTGTGTGTGTGCCGGCAGAGTGAAGGGGAGTAAAAAATTGAAATGCCTCGGCGGGTGCCTATCTGCGGGGGGCGACTGTGTAAGGAATCGCCCATTCCGGCAGCCGCAAGGCTGTGAGCGGCGGAGGGGGAGTCCAGGATGCCGCACCGTAATGCGCTTCGTTGGCGTTAATTTCGCCACATGCGGTTGTGATGTTGCCTGGAATGGGGAAAATAAGTGCAGGGAGCAGAATATTCCGCTTAATGTAATTACCGTGATTTAAAGCTGCCAAACGAAAGACCCATTGAATGAATGGTAGCTACGATGTGGCAGCTACTAGCTACATCCCTGATACACTCGTATGTAACTCCAAATGTTGTGGACCACCAACCAACTTGACTCTGCGATTGATTCCATACTTTAATGTTTGCTTTATAATGTTCTTTTTACATGTCTGTGCTGTCTAAGTTGATGCCAAACAGCGTAACTTTCTCGCGAATCCACCCGCCAAACTGCCTGACATCAGTGAAAAAAGTCTTCCCATTCGTTCTGGTACTCCAGGTGCCAATTATATGGTAACTACTGCTGTCGGTTGGACAGACCATCGGTGCTCCGCGGGCATAGATGGGCTGGGTGCTTTGTTCTGTGGCGCATATTACCGTCGATACGGAATTGACCGAGCACGTTCCGTTGTCTATGGCCACGTCAACCTTGACGACTGTATGCCGGGTAAATTTTCTCATAAGCCTAGACCTCCACCCGGTGATGAAGCACTCCTCATATGAGACTTCAGCGTAATCGTCGTACAAACAAATGGGTGCAATGTGTTGCTGGTGAGGAAAAGCCCTCTCCAGGATCAGCAGGGCAATGTTATTTTCCGTTGACTCCCAGTTGAATTTCTCGTGCAGTATTGGGCTTTTGACTTTGATGTTCACATGGGCAACAAACTCATTCTCGGTCATCAAATCCCACTCCCCGCCCCTCACCGTCAGCTGCTGTGCGCCAGCGATGCAGGTGGCTGTTGTCAGGACCACGTCATAGGCGATCAAGGTGCCAGTGCAGACAAACTTTTGGGCGGCATCGATGATGGCCATCACCCAGGGGTATTCCCCGAAGCTAGTCTCCAGGTCTCCTCCCTTTACGGTCATGTATATGCCATCCACATTTTTCACACCGCACTGACTGTTGTGAGTCGTAGATCCGTCAATGCCATTGATGCCAGCTCTAATCTGCAATTATAATGCAATTCGCGGCAGTCAACATCAACCGATATACATGTATGTGTGTTTCGATCATTTTTCCTCACCTTATTCCTGGGACAGCAGGTCTCCAGATAGTGGCATGTGTTTGAAGGCGGCTCTCCCAAATCGATAATTATCTTTCGAACGTTGAGGGCAGTTTCCTCACATTTATCCCGCCTAACACAGGTATTTTTCTTGAACCGGCCACACCGCTTCGTTGTAGGTGTTGTTGTAGTAGTTTCGATCGGCTGACCAAAAACAGGGGGATCCTCTTCCGAAGAATCATCATCTTCTTGTCCATAAGAAGCAGATGTGAGAAGGATCAACACGAATATCATCAAAAGAGCTCCCATCATTCCAGTCGGAGCCGTCATTATTGATCAATCAGTGTGGTTATCACGGAGGCATCCACAGGAAGCATCAACGCAAGTGTTTACAATATTAATTCAATTATTAATTCCGACGGAGCTACAGAACGATTCGTAGATGGTTGTCGACAAGTACTAGCTCGGTTTAACACTCCGCCATTGGACTCATCTGCTCCATGATCTCGACACCTCATGGAGGCGAGATAAAGTACATGCAGAGAAAAAATACCTCAAATTTGAGAGTGGGAACTCTAAAAAGAATTTGATTAATGGTGAAATTAGTCTGCAAATATTTGAATTAAATCTATTTCATACGAAAAAAAATATATAAATTATTTTATATTTACAATATATATAATATAATTATTATTAATGAGTTTTCATAATTACATTAAATATTGGTATATATTAAAAAGACTTTTTTCTTTATGTTTAATTCAAAATTAATTTTATTATTTCACGGCATTTAAAACCCGAATTTTTAATTTAAATGTTCCTCCTACTATGCCATTTTTTGTTGAGTGTAAATAATCGTATACATATGTATGTATTTTTATATATAGAATTATACTCTTGCAACGCGTTCCACAGACATCATGAAAAGCGTTCTTATCAATTTGGCTTTAATTTCGCTTATATAATATGTATTGTGTTCGTAGACCTAAGATAACCTCTATGTGAGTCACAGATTAAAGATACTGGTTCTAGAAAGGTTTGTCTGCCCGAGTTCGAGTTCGAGTAATTAATACCGAAGAAATTACTATTTTGTATTTAAATGGAAGAACTTTTCCAGGCTTATAAATTAAATTTTTCAATTAAACCAACATTAGGGCTCTGTAGGATAGTGCCTAATATGTATTTTGGGTTTCTACTGATATACGGAATCAAAAGCGACGCCTAACGGTGCAGCCGATTGATAGTGCTAGAGATTAGCTTAGCTCGACTTATTTGAATCAAATTCTAGTCACTGCAGCTTAGTGGTCGAACGACGAACATTGACGATACTCTGGGTGCTGCAAGTGGTACTGCTGCAGGGACTTACCCTGGGCCAGATCGTGATCCCGCTCCCGCGATTTTGTGGCCCAGAGCACGTGTAAGTACTGAGAATCCACTGCCAGAATGGTGCGGTTGTTGGCAAAGGAAATGCGTTGGTCTACGAGTATTATCGCGGGGCGCCATTGCACAACGCCTGCGATAAATTCAGTGGGGCTAATAACATGGCGAACCTCTTCCTGGAGGCGCCTCCTTCTTCCGCATGGCACAGCACATCAGCCAAATTTGCCTGCCCCAAACTGCAAGAGACTGCAAAACTTCGCTGCTTCGTCAGCTGTTGGGGAAAAAGGGCTTTCGCGCAGAGCGGTTATCCCAACGAACTAAAGAAAATTGATGTTCACACACTAAGTGCAACCTAGGGTCAGGATGAGCTCAGGAGAACTAGGCCGTTACTTCGAGCTGGAAAATACCTTGATTTGCGCTAGAGGCATTAATGGCATGGATAGCTGCAGCGGTGATGGGGGGATTTCCGATGTCTACGGAGTCTACGATCCTCCCTGGCCAGCGATCCCACCCGGCTCGTGCAAGCCGGCATCATAAACTGGGGCATTGGATGCGGCGAGGAACACGTGCCTGGGATCTGCACAGATGTGGAGTTGCTGCGGCCCTAGATTGTCCTGCAACTAAGACACAGAGGCATCGACTCCAGTGACTTCTCCCCACTAAGGCAATAACACAGAAGACTAAAATAAACAATTAATTAATCCCAGATGTGTATTGACTGTAATGGTAGGTAGGGTCTTAGTTATCTGTAAATTGTTGCAAAGTTTAAACAAATTCGCAGTGTTAGTGTCCAGAGAATTAAATGTTAAACTTCCAAAGGAAATTCAAGGACTCCACCTGCCGACAACTGCCCACGATGCTGTGCAAGGCCAACTCGTGCCCTGTCATAACTGTCATAGCGCGCAGATAGAGACAGATTAAATACCCTGCAGCTGCTCCCACAGAAAGCAACTCCTGTATATTCAAGTTGGCTTTGCTTTGCATTTAGCAAGAAAAAAGGAACACAAAAATGTGTATTAAAAACTGTTTTGGGTGCTGGCATCCGGATCCGGTGCCTGATGAATGAGCTTCACTGGGCCAAGGGGTGAGGGTTGCGTCAGTTGACAACCGCTGGAGTGTGGTTGCCCGGCTGTCCCGGTCCCGGTCCCTGGCTGGGCCATTTCATGAGACGTTTTCTAATAAACATTACGTTGACATGAAATACACGCCAAACAAATGAGCGAAATGCATTTCACCCCGGGGCCGGCGGGGGCGCGTCCAGCCCTGGCAGATGCTGGCTAATGCCGCCCTTTCAGCCTGGCTTTCAGCGCCTGCACCGCAGGATATGTTTACAAATTGAAAAATATAGCATGCGACCGACCGAACGTGCAGCAGAGGCACCACCGTGGTGCACAGTGGGCTGCTCGTTTTGTGAATTCTCTGAAACATACGAGTACTTACGAGAACTCTAAAAAACACTCGAAATTCTGGCAATGAAAAATCATCCTAAATCTGTCTGCTTTCTTGATGTTTCCCGTTAAAAGAAAGCATCTCTGACACCATACTTTATTCATATTCATATTCTTGTGCATAATCATAAATTGCTTAATATTGCTGAATATTGTAATACAGTAAAAATTGCCTTAAGTAATAAGTAGTAGCGTAATAAATGGTAACAACTAAACCCACTCCTTGAGTAATAGTTCCAAAATAGCAAAAAATCAATGATCTACACACCACTGTGCTATCCAACTCGACTTAGTTATCCGGCAAAAATGAGCTGTACCATGGGCATGGGTCAGTCGGCGGTGGACAGTCGAGGCAGTCTTCCTGCAAGGGACGTTTGGACGTGCCACGCGGTTTCCCACTATAACACGACTGCTGCTCTTACGTACCAATGTAAATGAAGAATATGGCAAACTATATGGGTTCAAATACATTTAAACAGTATACACGATTTCTGCAGAAAAGCAGCCGGGTAGAAGCGAAAATCTGACACGAAACATTCGCGTGACAAGCAAAATGTTGCCACATCGCGGGGAACCACACGAAGGAGGGACATTCATATTCACGTCCAGTGCATTTCAGGGCGGGGAGCTAGAGAAATAATTATGGCGCAAATCACAATGCAGAGGAGGAGCAGAAAAAGAAAGCAGCTACAAATTGGGAGTGCACACAGAGGGGGATAGAGAAATGTCAAAGCATGGAAATAGGCCGCAGGATATTCTGGACAAGGTGGGAGAGCAGTTTCCCCCCATGACATTGACAAAGAACTTCAGAGGGAAAGAATGCAGGGAGAAGGAGATAAGCGGAGGCTGCACGCTTTAGACTTCCGGCTCCAGCTCGGGGGTGGTGGTCTTGCCCATACAGATCTATGCCTCGATGCTCTATTAATAGCATGATTAGTATAGAAATAACAAGAATTGAGCGTGCTGCTGCGAGATACAAAGCTAGAGAACAAAAAAAGATTTACAGAGCTTGACAGGAGATTAGCTCGAAAGCTATAGAATACCTTTTATTACTTTAGAGGCTTTGAAGGGTATCTATAATTTCGTCCACTCTGTAATTTTTTTACACAGCGAGAAAACAACCATTAAACCACACACATCTCTACTGTCAGTCTCTTCTTTTTTATCAGTCTTCCATTTTCAATGTGTTTTTAGGAGGGTGGATTTGGTCAGGTCGGCTGCAGTTCCCAAAACATTATTCCCAATAAAAGTCTTCAGATGGTGATTGGAAGTATATGTGAGGTATATGTCTGATCGTTACAGATGTACGCGAGCGTGTATGCTTTGTCGGGGGTGGAATCGACACTGCAATAGCGCAGTCGCACCGTGCAGGGGGTAGAAGGAGACTGACTTATGCGGTAGTCCAAAGCGTCACCTATGCTAGCTTATATGTAAGCCCGCTCGGGTGCCGTGTGGATCGTGAGAGCGCTGTCGGAGAGCGCTAACAGAGCTGTCCACGGGAGCGTCTACAGACAAGTAGCGGAGAGCGTAAAACGACTGTTACGCTGTCCTGTTAACAGCGCTGCTGCCCTGTTCGGGCTGCTGCCTGAACACAATGTATTTCATTCAGAATCTTTTTTTTTTGAATAGGCACTGAGTGTAACTAGAGCTCATATATGTTCATTTATTTTCCACAATATCCAAACAAAGCTTATATTATTTGGATGGCCACACGAGTCTCGGAGATCTACCTCGATCTAACACTCTTCCTTTTTTCCAAATCAAACAACTGGGTCCATAATCAAAATTCAGGTCGAATCCCATTGCTATTTTTCTTTTTTTGCACTTTGTACCTGCACCTTCTATAATTATAATTTGGAAACTGGAGAATTTGTGTGGCCACATTATATGCACATTTGAAGGTTTAATGGGAACCTGCTTCTGCAGGTGAGTGATAATCTGATAATTTTTTTATACCAACTCTGATTTAGAACTCTAAAAAGTAAATATACAAAAATATGCATAGTACAATTGGCCAATTAAAGTTTATTATCGACAAAAAAAAAACAAATTTAAATTCAGCCTTTTGGATAGGTTTCCGTAGGATTTAATTATCATTTCTTTCAAACACAGTTTACGTCATGAAAACTATCTTCTTTATTATTTGTTGATCAGCTAATAATTTATCAAAGCCGAAATGGCCGAAGGTCCCAGCTGGGTATTAAGTGTCGAATACACTTTGAAACCCTCAAAGTCCGCTGTGATGACGAATTCGCACGTAGAAATGGCAGGACTGGCTGGCGTGATTTCTTCATTCACATTTCCGAAAATTGTTCTGCTCTGTCTACTCCTAGTCTGATGCCCAATCTAAATTAAATACAATTGGCAACTTATTAGTCGCCATTCGTTTGGGGATGATCTTCAAAAACCTTACCCAAATGATCGGACACCAAGCCTGCCTTTTCTGGCATTTCTGATTTCGCCAAGCAATCAGAACACAATACCGCTACACATGAGAGAATGATCGTTTAAGGCTGCGCCGAATCTTCCAATGCATGCAATGATGGTCGAGGATGGTCTGCAACCTCCAAGCTTAAACGTCTACATCAGCAGCAGTTGCTGCCGATGCAGCTCCTTTTCTCATTGTTGAGGTAAAAAGAATGTCGATCTACCGATCCACAAAAAATCCGAAGGGGTCAAGGCGCTGAGCCAAGAGATAATCAAGACTCTACGGGACCTCAGCACCTTGAATTTCCTGTATATGCATGCTACAAAATCGCAGAAAAAGCTGGGGCCTTCTTGCAAGCCTCTGTGGATAGATGGGAATATTTATATTCGATATTGAAGAAAATACGAGTGTTCGTGCCACCCACTTGCCAATCTTGTACAGGCCACAAGCTATGGAGCTGGGCTATGTTCGTTTTGGCTAAACCAGGCGGTCCATGGAAGCACAAGATCTTGCCCTGCGGCTACGAGATAAAGATACATTATGATTATGTTGGGAAGCTAATGGATCTCCAGTAAGTTAAGTTTTGACAGTTCTTCACCGATAACCTGCATGTACCTTCCTACAACTCCTTGCTCTCAATGAACTGCACATCTGATTCCTCTAGTACATGTTGCAGCTCCTCTGGCATATCGTAGTAGATGGTACTTTGCACAGCTCGTTGTGGAGTCTCTTTCTAAAAGAAAGAGATGAGCGGGGAGCTTGTTCTTTGATATATTTAGCATGCACAAACAGGGGACACATGGTGATGATTTCCCGTTGAGCATTGATGGTCTCATGGGTAAACGCCTTGAGCTCATCGGGCCTTTTGTACTATACATCGATAGGTTGCCATTTTCCTCCTTTACAATTGGCACAGGATCTGCAGCGGTAGCAGCTGATGCTGATGTACACTCCTCGGCTTCTGTTTCGATTATAGAATTTGCTGCAGTTTCAACTGGATAATGCAGTGTTGCACTTACCTGGCTTTTCGGAGGTTGCAGAATCTGCAATGGAAGATTCGACGCACCCCTAACAGATCGTTCGCAAGAGCATTGCGGCTACACTGGGAAGTGCTGGCATCTTGCTCCGAACTTAGGCATGCTTAAATATACATGCGTGTATCCGTGGCAGGGTCGGGGGCAATCGTCGCTCCTGTTTCCCACCACATCGTGGATCAGTGGCGTGAGGGAAAGAAATAGACAAGCAGGCCTGAAATGCCCTGCGCCAAGCTACATCCAACCGCCGTATAATCATAAGAAAGCTCTACTTGAACGATGGTGTAGACCGAAATCATAGGCTGCAACCAGCAACAAATTTGAAAAAATTCCTTGAAATAATTTAACTTTTCGAATTTTTGACAGAAAACAAATGTACTGAAATTACTGAAAAAATTATATTTATTAATATTAGGCCGAGAGCAAAACCATTTTTAATGTTCACTAATTGAGAAACACGAATGGAGTGACCGAAAAGCTGAAATTCTCCGCACAGGTTCTGTGCATTTCTGACAGAAATGCCAAGGAGCAAATGTCCATCCGATTTCAAAGGTCTCAGTCTAAAAATGTTACACTTTGTGTGACTGAAATAACATCGATAACTACTAAATTGGATTGAGCAAAATTCGTAGCAGAAAAATACGAAGAAAATAACGGTTGAATTCTTAAAAATTATAACAAATAGAAAAATTAATGGAACTCACGACGCAAACAATTTTCTAACAGCGATATCATTCTATGAGTTCTACAAGGAAGAGGAAATTTTAGAACGTATTCAGTGTGACTATTCCGTACTCAATGGAAGATGAAACTGAAATATGAAGAGCGGAGCAGTTCGTTTCTTCAGAAATTGTGTCAGCGATAAGAAACAGAAATGGAATGACCGTTCCATCTCCGATCTATTGGAGCTTTTTAATTTGGTCAGCTGTACAAGTTTTTTATTATTCGGAAACGTTTTCCATTACTAAATTGGCCATATGAATATATCTAGGGTTCCCTTAAACTAAGAAAGCGTGTGGTTTAATTATTACTTCGTGGTTTTCCACTAAAAAAACAACGGCGGGTCTTACAAACCAATTTACTATAAATGCAGAGAATGGCAACTACATGGGATATGTATACATTTTAAGAATTTAAACTTCCTTCTGAAATGTAGCATGGGAAAATCTGCCACAAAACATTCTCGTGGCAAGAAAAATGCTGTCATATCGCGGGGAACCACACGACGGGTGGACATTAACATCCACGTCCAGTGCATTTCATGACGAGGAGTTGGAGAAATAATTATAGCGCAAATCAGAACAATGCAGAGAGGAGAAAAAGAGAGGAAGATACAGCTACAAATTGAGAGTGCACACAGAGGGGGATAGGGAATTGTCAAAGCATAGCAATAGGCCGCAGGATATGCTGAACAAGATGGGAGAGCAGTTTCCCCTCATGACATTGACAAAGAACTTCACAGGAAAGCACAAAAGGTGAGAAAGAGTGGGAGGAACAGACAGTCTGAGATGACAGATAACATTTTATATTCGCTTTTTGTCGAAATTCTCGAGTATATTCCAGACATGGGGAAATTAACTTGCGGCTTGCCAAGAAACAAACCAGAATGAAACAACAGGCAGCTCTAATTTGGCCATGTCAGAGATTGACAACAATTAAATTTGCCTCCTGTCTGCGGGCAAAATGAGTTGGCAAATCAGTTTCGCCCTCACCTAAGCAGTTGTCACTCGTCCGTGTTGCGGAATTGTTGACAGAATTCAAATCAATGCCAGAAGGCAGACCTGCTGCAGAATGACGTCGAGTCTGGCTCTGACGCTGAGTCTGCCACATGATGATGATGATGACAATGTCTGTGTCATAAATGTCACTTTCAATTTCATTTGACAGGCATGCAGGATTTGATGGGTTCGATTGGAGCATGATTTGAATGGCAAATTAGCTAAATGTGGTTGGGTTGCTCCTTGCGAGAAAATGTGAATGAAATTATGTCAGTCTCAAATTATGAAATGTGCGAAAATAGCGAAGTATTCATCAAGAAAAATATAATATCGAAGATTCCTTCTTTCGCCCTGTTTTGGCTTAATTGGTGGGAGGGAAAGCTTTAGTTGGCAGTGTTTCAGGTGGATTTTAGCACATCATCATTTAGATATCAGGGCAAGCAGTCCTCTTGAAGCCAACACTGGATAGCACTTAAAGCCAGAGAGAGAGAGAGAGAGAGAGAGGTAGAGGTAGAGCGAGAGAGCCCACGATAAAAAACATCATCGAGTACTATTATCACTCAAGGCTATACATTTTATGCATTGAAAGCCAGATGCAGTCCAGGGGCCTGGGCAGGACGAGCGTCAAATGTCGAAGGTCTCGTTTTCCATCGGCGCCGACTTTGCTGGGGCTGGGCTCCTTTCCTCGTGGCAGCAGTCTGGGCCTGGGTCGGGGACTGGGTCTGGGTCTGGGCCGGCAATGAGTGCTTCCTGTTTCCGTTCCGGCATCTCTCCACTGTCTCTAGACAAGTGTACAAGCAACTATAACTGTCGGCACAAGTTGGCTTTATTATTTCCACACTGTTGAATATGCATATAAAAAGCGAATCAGAAGTGGCAGCAGAAGAGCAGGGCAGAGCAGACTTTGTGCTGCTTTGACGACTAGCGGCACGCCCCTTGGTCGTCCTTTGTTGTCCTGCCAATGGCCAAGACGAGGTCCCATGGCCATGAGAACGGAATGGATGGCGATGGTGGTTCGCTTTCCATTTTTGCAGTTCAAGCCGGGTGCATTATCACTCGCCAGCCAAGCAAAATATTGTGGGTGCATTAAATATTTTCCCTCTGGCCACAAGACAAAAGAAAAGCTGGAAGTGGTCCGAGGGCTGCACAAACTATGCATCTCATGGGTCTCCCATGGGCATGAGATGAGCCAATGGCCCAGCGCCAGCACCCAGCACCCAGCCCAGTCCAAGTCCAGGCCTTTGTCTGCATTTTGTATTAAACTATTTATGCCACCGCTGTAGCTGGGTGCTGTCTGCTAGCTGGTAACTGGTAACAATATCTCAAGGAGTCTCCGGGTCGAAAATTTACCTACAGCAAGCCCAGTCTGGGAGCATTTTTATCGTGCTACATTTTGCGGAGGAATTTATGAAAAATTTAAAACAATTATGTGGCTTCAGCCACAGCATAGCAGTGTGGTGCAGCATGAGGATGGGCGGCCATTGATCGCTTGGTTGCCCAGCTGGTCAGCAGAGGAAATTGTGAAACATTCTTTGTGGCGGTTGAGGTTGAGGGTAAGACACAGAAAGGCCCCAGAATATCAACTATGCATTGATTGGTTTTTTTCTCTACTCGTAGCTACTGGGAAGTCTAGGGGGCAGCTGAAACACAAAGTGTATGGGGAGTGAGAGCATACGAGTAAAGGCGGATACAAAGACTATCGGGGCAAGCCAAACGAGTAACTTTCTTGGGCAAAGACTAGCTGCGGATGATGAGATTAGCAACGAAAACACACTGCGCGGAGTGATATTTGTTTCTTTACTGTGACAACCTGACATTGGCATCGTTGGTTGACTCGGAACACAAAAACCAATGAACGAAAGGATAGATCGCTAGGCAAGAAATAAATAAATAAATAAATGGTGCTAAACCAGTAGAAGCTAACCACTGATAGATATATGCATCGCTCGAGAACGGGATTTTAATTAATGAGAATTATTTCTAAGCATCCACTCGGACTTCGTGGAGCCAGCAGAAATGCATAAATAACAAAAGGCACCTGGAATTAATTAAGGTCCGCCTGCATGCATGCAATGCATTTTTAAGGCAGTGCTATCGAAAGCTACAAGAAATGTAGCAATTTATAACCACTTAAGGATCGAGAGGGTCCCTGTGCAAATAGCGCTCCCAGCAGAAAGACAAAACCAAAGGCAGAAAAGGCCCGCCAACAGGCCCCAATGGTTTGGTATGCCAATACTGCGGATAAATGAAGTCACTTCGGAACTTAAGTCTACTCATTTAGGATCTTAATGAAACTTATGAATTAAAATCCGGGTTTTTATTCCCTGGCCTTACGGACAACATCATCGCAGCAGCAACAAACAGAAAAAAAGTTTATTTGCTGTAGGACATCAGCCTTAAGACGCCAACATTTGACTTTGAGAAGCTTCTTTTCCGTTTGCGGAAGCTATTAAATGAAAGTTAAATGGTTATTTGGTTGGACAACCAATCAAACATATGAAATGCATCGAATGTGTGCTAATATGTATTGTCTGCTGATGGATCTGCTTCCAAACTGAGATCAGCTTCAGTGAATAAATGTGGTGAAAATGGCGCCCAGAACACACAAAATATAAAAATGTATTAAAAGAAGAAACAGTAAGGCATAAAGCAGGTGCCAGAAGAATGGAAATTATAAGCAATCAAAGCGAATCCGTACAAATGAATACAGCCCCAACTCCTATTTCCTGTCTCCATTAGGATTAAATCAAATTTTTAATAATAATATTCCTGAAGAAAGTGAATCTCCTTTGTATATCGTTTGGTTAGTAGTTAAATGAATCGTTTACCCCTTGCCTGGCTCATTGCGCTCAATTTGAAATTATCGCAAAGCTGGGCAAAAATTGCCTGGCCGCCTTCTGCGAGCTTACCGCTTCCGTGCAACACTTGCGATGCATATTCGTGGCCGAAAATTCATTGGAAAATGTTGCGGCATAAACAATTTTCCGACCATTCTCTGCCACAGAGCTTAATTAGCCAGCCGCAGCCTAAAAATCCAATTGGCATGACGATTGGCAGGCAGCCATGAGCGTCGGCACCCGCAAAATGGTTGAAATGTTGGGGGAATTTTCTTTGGTGGAAATCAATTGCATGAGCTTTAAATAGCACAATGGGTGGGGGCCTGCCCTGGTGCTCTCTGTCTTCTTGCTTGTTAAACAATATTGCTGCACAGAGATTAGGTGCTTATTTTGACAGGAGCTGTCGGCTGTTGGCTGTTTGGCTGTGAGGAGCGAACGGACACCTACAGAGGAGAGGCGGCCTGGTCGTGGGCTTTTGCCTGGGTAAACAGACAAAAATATTTGCAGCTCCGTTCTCGTTTTCGGCAAGCATGGATGTGGAGGAGTGTAAGAGACGGACACTGGCCTCAGCCAGCTGACGATGATGATTCTCATATCTCTGGTGCAGCAACGAGTGCATGGCGCTCTTCTGCTCGAGTGCCCTGCCCCCTCATTCGCATCCACATCCACTTCGGCATCGGCATCCACATCGAGAATAGTTTTTCTTTGGCTTCTCTCATTTTTCATGCGCGCCAGCTAAGCTTTTAATTAAATGCAAGAAAATTCAATTTTAATTAAAATTTCTCAAAAGTCTCTCTCTGGCCCGACGCTGCATATGGATGGCGGAGCGATGTGGAGGAGGATGTGGATGTGGATGAGGATGAGCACTCTGGCAGTTTTGAGCTCTCGGGTCTTGTCCTGTTTTCGATCTGGGTTGTTCTACTCGAGTGTTTGCCAAACGTGTAAAATTGAAAATTAGGAAATCGAATTGTAATGCCAGCAGAGTGCAGACAAAGGCTGAGGGGGTAGGCAGCAAGCATAGTGTTGCTGGTAGTGGTATTGGCAGTGGGATGGAGCCAAGTCATCAGGCACACACAAAAGCAAAATTGTAAAGTAATTGGAAATGAAAATTCATTTAGGGCCCGGATCGAGATGAACAAATGCGTGGGGAGAGCGGGGTACAGCGTGCAGGGTGCAGGGTGCAGGATGCAGGCGATATCCAAAGAGGCATAAGGCATAATCTGATTGGGCTTTGTTATTTCTGGGCAGAGCCCAATGGACATTCCACTGTCGACTCAGGACCAGCTACTAGAGAAGGGGCTTAAGGTGCAACAATGGTTAAGCAGTCTCCCATACTAATTACTAAATATCAAAACATTTGTATAAATTAACAAATATGTAGATGTAGATCAACAAATTGTAAGAGGAGCAGATCTTTCTTTAAGATCTGAAATACCCGATAAATTCAAGTTATTGATTCATTCATAATTGACTCACAATTGGAAATATACTCCTATATACTCCTCGAATAAACCATTTATAAAGTCCCCTTTGTAACAAAAAAAAATACATATTAATAATTTTCGTCCCATTTCCATTCTCTCAACAATGGCATGAACTGATCCTTACTGCGCTCTGCTGACACATACAGTTGAGAAACAAATAATAGCACCACTACATCATATTTCGTTCTCGATAAAAAAATGCGATTACTATTGCGATTTTTTTAATTTGGATTTTTTTTTTAAGTATCTTTCTTAAACAAAAACAGCGTTACCGTTCTTCAAATTTGTATCTTTATAATTTTTTTCGGGATTTTAAGAAAATAGCGAAAAAATAATAGCACATCAGCCCTTTTAAAGTGAAACTTCCCTATATATTCAAAATGGTTAATTTGTAAATTCGTTACTTATTGGTAATTTTTATTTTTTAAATTTTAAATCTGAAAAGCTGTGCTGTTATTTGTTAGCTTAATTTGATTAATTTCAATATAATTCCTTAAATAACGTAAAATAACATAAAAACGTTACAAACGATGATATCTTTTTATTCCCATGTTTGTAAGAGTCTTCCATTTCTAAAAATAAGCTTAAAGTTTCCTTAAAGTTAAAAATGTGAGTTGGGCAACTATCTAAAAATTGCTTGTGGTGGTGGTGGTGCTATTATTTTTTGTACTGCTGTAAATATGCATAATTATACTGGAATATGCAGTTGCACAGCATAGCAGACCAACACCGGACTGTCAATAGTATTCGGGATCCGCAGTTCGGCGCGGTTGGCGGTGGAAAAAGTTTGCGGGAAAAGTTTATTTTTTAGCCCCAAAAGCCCGGGCGGCTTTTGCGAGCATTTTGCACATAATTTAAGCGCACACATCCTGTCAAGTCATAAATTACACATATTACATGCACGTATAAATCGCAAGCCAGATACGGGTGTGCCAAAAGTGCGCCGGCAAACTGAGACCAAAGTGCTTAACATACTTTTTGGCGCACGGCCCAGGACACACACAGGCCACGCACAATCCCCCATGCCCCACACGGATACAAACAGATACATACGCAAATCGACAAACGCACGTAGCGCAAAAGTTGAACAACTCTCCGCCCCAGCCTCAGCCCGATTCCAGCCCACAAGTGAAAACGGAAAAGTAAGTCAAGACGCTGCCAGGCGATCTGGGAATGTAACTTTTACTTTTGTCGCCCCTCTCTATCACCTCTCTCTCTCTCACAACCCGATGTCTGGCAAGCCCCAGATTATGGCACGCGGTGGGAATGGAATGGAATGGAATGAGATGGGCCATTAAATAACCCCGAACTGCGAGCCTCCGATAGCTGTACCAATTTAGATGCATTTCCATTGATTAGGCGGATGCATATACATCTGATTTGCCATGGGTTTCGGTGCGTCTCCCATTGAAAACGTGACCGAATTGTGTAGAAGGGAAAGGGGAGCAATTTTCTATTACAAAAAAATACCTTTTAGAAGGATCTTTAGCACAGCAGTTGGTTGTGCAATCGAATATTATTTGGTGTCAATTCTATGAATACTTGAAGACGGATTACCATAGGAAAATTGCAGGTACAGCGATTCCGGTTTCACTTGTGAGAAGGCACAATATTGTATTGATTTATATTAAACTATCACATCTCAGTCATTCTGTCCCAGAGGATAAACTCTGTTGATTGTTCTCTGATGGATTACTATTTGCATTTAAGCTTGCCGCTAGCTGCGTTACTGGTGTGAAAAAGTGATCTGACGGATTTCCACTCCCTTGTGTAATTAATGTCACTATTAATTGTGATCGCTATTCCAGGGAGAATTAATTCCATACGTATTTAAGTTTCAAGGTATCAAATTGTTGATCAAATTTCTGTTTGTTTCGAGTTTTTAAAATTGTTTCAGTATTCTTGCGACGTCCCGCCCAAAGTTGAGGACAACTGTTGGAGCTGTTGTGTTCGATAGTTTTGATGTATACCCGAAGTCGGCAATGTCGATATGGCTATCTGGTGTTCCCCGAATTGGCAAACCCAATGTCGCAATCTGTTACCTGATGCTCCTGCTGGCCCTCACTCTACGTGCTGAGGCTGTGAAGACCATGTACTACGACAGTCCCCGGTTGCCAACGTCGCTGGTGCCCTTTCACTACGAATTGAACTTGACAACCCACCTGGAGAACTCGTACACGACCAACTTCGCCTACGAGGGCACTGTGAACATATCCTTCTTTGTCCACAAGTCCACAGATGTGGTGGTGCTCCACGCCAATGAACTCAGCATTAAACTGTCCAAAACTGAGCTTCAGGAATGGTACTCGCTGCAAAAATACCCCATTCTGGAGTTCAACTTCAACAGAAAGCTGGACTATCTCATAATGAAGGCAGAGAGGTTCCTGAAGCAGGGTAGGCACTACAGTCTGAGTATCGAGTTCGGACGACCAATGTCCGAGAGCAAAAGAGAGGGCTACTTTTTGGCCTACTCCACGGATGTGATGTCCCAGCAAAAGAGGTAAGTCTCCGACTGCGACAATGCCCCTTCTAATTCTCCGCTCCTGTGCCCAGCTGGTACTCCCTCACCCACTTTGAACCTCGCTCCATGAGGTACACCATGCCCTGCTTCGACGAGCCCGCCCTGAAGGCCACCTTCAATGTGACCCTGGGCCACCACAAGCGCTTCCAGAGCTTCAGCAACATGAAAGTTATATCAGTGTTGGCCCAGTAAGTACATTAGATGTTTTATGATCCTCCTATAAGACTAGCATAATTTTCGCATTCCACAGCAATGAAATGAAGGACTACGTGTGGTCGGTTCACGAGACGACGCCACTGATGTCGAACTATTTGCTGGCCTTCTCCATCAACAACTTTACCTGCACTTTCAGCCAGACTGGCGGCCCGAGTCCCGTCCTGTTCCGCACCTGCGCCAGGTCCAGCGACCTCCTACTCACATCCTTTGCCTCCCAAACGGCTCCTCTGTTCCTCGAATACTTTGAGGAACTGCTCGAGATGGAGCTCCCCTTGAGCAAAATCGATCAGTTGGCGGTGGAAAACTATCACACCGATGCCATGGAGAACTGGGGCCTAGTGGTCTACTCCAGCGAGTTGATACTGCAAACCGACGAGTCTGACCACTCGGAGCCGTCTCGTATCAGGCTGCAGGCCCTTCAGGCAATCTCCCATGAAATGGCTCACATGTGGTTCGGCAACCTGATCACCGTCGCCTGGTGGTCAGATGTCTGGCTGAAGGAGGGCCTCACCGGCTACTTTGAAGTGCTGGGCATTGAGCATCTGTATCCGAGACTTGGTCGCAGGATTCTGGCCAAGTATCGCGAAATGACCCTGATGCACGAGACGGAGAGCGGTGGCATCTTCATATCCACCAGGGATACACAGGCGAACGCCTCCAAGCCATACGTGTACCAGAAGGCGACGTCCGTGCTGCACATGGCGGAGGGCATGGTGGGAAATGCGACCTTCCACAATGGCATCCATCGGTACCTGTACCAGTACGCATTCGCAAGCAGCACCGCGGATCAGTTCCTGTATAGCATTCAGGAGGGCAGTGACCGGGCCAACTCCCTGCCCGAGTTCGCTGACGTCAAGGCCATCATGGACACGTGGATCCTGCAGAACGGCTATCCGGTGCTGAATGTGATAAGGAATACCAGCCTGGTGCTCATCCAGAACCACTTCTCCTTCAACGAGTCCCGCAAGGAGAGCTGGTGGATTCCCCTGACATACACCACCCAGAGCGAGCGCAACTTCAGCGACACCAGACCGAAGGCCTTCCTTCCGGCCAACAGTCCGCCGTTCAACCTGTACGTCTTCGTTCCCGAGCACGACTGGATCATCTTCAACATCCAGGCCATGGGCTACTACAGGGTTAACTACGACGAGATGAACTGGAACCTGATTGCCGAAGCTCTGTCGAAGGACCACCAAAGCATTCACGTGCTGAATCGGGCTCAGATTGTGAGCGATGCTCTGTTTCTGTGGAACAACAAGCGGATCAGTTGGTCGACCGCGCTGAATGTCCTCAAGTACATCGTCGACGAGGACGAGTTCGAGCCGCTGATGGCATTGGTCGTGGGAGTGACCAACGGCTTCTGGGGCGTGTCGCCGGAGAGTTCCATGGACATAGCGGTAAGATTTTATAGGAAACACCTTTCCTCCGTCCTCTACACGTTCTTAATTTTTAGAAATGGCTGAGCAATGCTGGAAAGTGGTACGCAGAGTTCATCAATTACACGTTCGACCAGTTGGTGTTCATCGGGAATAATCTGGAGTCCGCACCCCCGGAAGAAGACTAACCACAGGCAACGGGAGACCATTCAGGAACCGCAGAATAATGGGCATGGCCAGCCATCCCATCCGCCTCCCATTCTGCTGCTCCGCCGCATCTCTTTGTTGGGGTGATGGAGAGAGGGGGCGAAATGAAACCGCCATCAATGAACCGCAATTGTATTTGTTTGCAAATAACTGAGCGTTATCTGAGACTATTTATCTTTATCTACAATAACAAAAACAGCAACAAGAACACAAGCCAGGCAAGGCAGGGCAAGGCCAGGGCAACAGCAGTGGCTCGTGCTTCTGCTCTTGCTGCAGAACAATGGCAAAGGACACCGCCACAGTAGCCAGAAAGGAGGAGGCGGCAAGGAGCTCTTTTACAGCCCTGGGAGTGCCAAGGCGCCAACTGAAATAATGATGCAGGCGAAATAACAATAAAAGCGGAGCTCGCAGGAGTGGAACCGAAGATGGGAGACCAAAAGTAAAGGACAATATCGATGCTCCTTTTCCGCATAACGGCCGGCGGTAAAGACAATGCCAGACCCCTAACACTGCAGACAGGATGCGGATGCAATGGACTCCACTCCACTCCACTCTGCTCCACTCCACTCCACTTCCCTATCTCACCAGCTCCAGCCACTTGGTCGAATGGTCGACAGCCTTAAGTGCAACGCGAGGACAGCTTTAAGGCCGCCTTAAGACCCAAACCCAAAAACTTCCCTGAATGTATTCACATGTTTCGATTCGTTCGCCCACTTTCCCATGTTGCTCTGCAACAGTTTAATAATAATAAGCCAAGAAAAGGAAAAGGAATAAGCAAAGCATGTTTTACGCATAATGAAATTTAACCCACAGCCAGGGGGAAGGCCAGCGCTCGGTCGGAAGTTGAATCCGCCTAAAACCATGCAAATTAAATTTAATGGAAAATTTATTACCATTTTTTCTGTGGGTTATATGCCCCACACTCACCCACTCCCACTCTTCTCAGTGCTCCTCCGCACTTCGTTTTGGGCCTGGGGGCAAGACGAATATTTATAAATCAAATTGGGGGCTGTGCATTATTAATTTTGTTTGCTGCAACAAGTTGGGGCAGCTGCCGGAGGGCGCGCCTGAGCCGAGCCGATTTATCAGCGTGGTCTCTGTCATATGGTAATATTCGCCACATATCTGATATCAATCCATTGTCCTTCACTAACCCATCAACACGCCATAATTGGCCTAGACCATGGAGTGCAATTATTTGTGCATTTATTATAAAGCATTTTTATATTTATTTTTTGTAGCCTCTGGTTTATCCTTTCATAATGATTTTTTATGCCATATTTAAATGGTCGACTGGTCGCTCTATCTCTTTCAATTGCCCTTTGTTGATGGTCTGCCTGCCCGCTACTGTTTGAGTGAAAAACTCATTAAGGCTGCCATTTATTTCTGTCATTGTAATAAAAAGCGCTCCAAAGCAACCGCAGTGGGCGCAAAAACACACACAAAAGTCTTATGCCGTATTTAATCACAAAAAAAGAGACAAAATAAAATTATTGTAAAATCAACAGGATAAAAAGGTAATTTTGTGACAGAAACGCCCATAATGCAGTTGCTGAATGCAGTTGACAACTCAATAATGACGCCCAATATGGCAGCAGGTAATTAATTTCTTTGTACTTTTCAGTTTCAGAATCAGAGTCAAAGGAAATCAAGCCAGATCGTCAGAGCCAACGCAGTTCATAAGTAGATTGCTCACTTTACACAAAATATACGTATAAGTAATTTTTTCATAAAATATGTGCTTTAAATCCTTCTCTTTCTTCGCTGCGTTGCAAGTCTCTGGCCAAAATCATAATGCCCTCTGCAAGGCTTTACAGTTTATAAATTGAAATCAAAATAATAATAAATCTTAACCTAAGGCCCAGCATGTTTCCTAATGAATGGGAATTTTTAAGTTAAATTTCTCGACGGGTTAAGGTAACTTTCTTGTGACACATTCGCCCCTGTCGTACGAGTATCTGTCCGTATCGGTACTTAAAGCACATGTCGATTGCCTCTGTGCAAAGGAAAAGAGCAGCTGCAGGGCACCACAGGACAGGCAAACAAGCAACCAATACTGGGAGTCAAATCCGAGTTGTGTTGAATTTTTTGCATGAATTATGCAAAAGAGTTTGTTCAACTGTGTGGGGGAGGGGGTGTGCGCGTGAGAGAGTGTTCCGGCGTATCCATGTCTCCCACAAAGGGAATACTTAAATGGGATTTGGGAAATCACAAACACATAAGCTCCGCCAGAGGAAAGAATCTGCGATGGAGTGGGTAGTGGGTAGTGGGCAGAGGGCAGAGGGGAGTGCAAAGGCGAATTAAAAGGATACGGCACATGGCAAAGGGAAATGCTGGCCAAATAATTTTTTCGCTTTGATGGCATATCAAATTGCATTTCGGTTAAGTAATATTGTATTGAGGCTGCCCAGCATCATCATACATCCACATGTACTACTCGTATGTGTATGTGTGAGCATTATATTTGCATTGCGTACGACTTATTAAAGGTTGGCCAGACCATGTTGGCCAATAAATTCTGGTAGCGTTAACTGCCTGAAATCCCATTGCCCATTTACTTTGGCCCCATGTCCATTCCGGCCGCGCCGTCTTTGGGCATGCATCCTCGACCGCCACCTGCAAAATTGCAACTTAACAATGCCTCTGAGAGTCTCTCGATGCACCCGCCCCCTCACCCTCACCATCACCATCACTATCCCCATCACCATCGCCATCTCCATCCCGACCAGAGGCACGGATACCCCATGTGGCAGCAACGCATGCGGCGTATAAATCAATATTGGCAATTTAAAATTGGCTGGCGGTGTATGAAGCCAATATCCGGCACCGCTCTCCGGCAGTTCGAGTGTGTTTGTGCTGCTGGGTCCAGGAGGAAGTGGCAGGGGAAAAAATTGGGTGACTAGAGAAAAAAACTGTGGTGTGGGTGGTGCGAGGGCGGTGTGCAGCTCGGTGGCTGGCCCTTGCACACGTGAATCTTAGACAAACATTATATGGCACCCGAAACGTTCGTTCGATTTGCGATTGGTGGTGGGGCTTGTGTGCGTGCGTATCTGTGTTCCACTCAGGATAGCAGGATGTCGGCGGGTCGGTGGGTCGGTGGGTCGGTGGGCTTGTGGTGGTTAAAAGCGATTCCCGCGAAGTCTATTAAAAATGCGAGTATGTACATTCGTGGTCCCTTTGCCGATGCGGCCAACGGGTAAATACAATGCGAAACAAAAAGAACAGGTGCGAGGGGTGTCAGCTAAGTGGTCGGGAAGAAGGGGCAGAGACAGAGTGCCCCGGAATCCGGATTGGCTGGTTATTGGGTATGGGGAAACGCTTTGCATATACTCGTATATATGCAGATTAAAGGTAATCCCAATAGGTAGTTAACAATAACAAAATACTCGTAGATATGGCATGCCGATAGACTATTTCTACGCGAAGAATCAACAGATCAATCGATTTTATTTACAGGGAAATTTGAGGGCAACGTTAAAACGAATAATCTAATCTAAGATCTATTAAAACTCAGGAATCATTTATTTTCACTTGGATGTTGGTTGAAGAATTCAAAGCTCTGCCATTATGCTCTCAACTATGCAAATTACAAGCGAGATTTGTTTTTTGCCCCACTTTGGGGAGGCAATCAAACAACAAACAACTAATCGGGCGAGCCCCCAGTTCGGGGAATCACCTAATTATGCGCCAATAAGTATGCAAAATTAAAATATTATGCAAATTACAGTGAATGCGGATGGAGAGGAGATGAGATGAGATAGATGGTTGAAATTTAAACGCTTTTTGTTTTGACTTTTTGGCAGAAATAAAATTATGACATCATCATCGGCACCATCGCCATGCCACCATGCCATCCAGCTCCACATTATCGGCAACGCGTCAAAAACAAATTACTCGCGAACTAGCCCAGTGTGAGAGTGGGGTGCGAATGGGTGTGGTTCAGGGGATGTAGCTAAAATTATGCCGCATCAAAAATCCTGTTTAGGCACTAACAATTCGGGGGCGGTGGTGGTCGGGTGGTGGGGCCGGAATCAAAACAGTTTTTGTGGCCGTTTCAAATGTTGTTGGCCGAAATACTCGAGCGAAAAGTGCGTGCAAAATAAAAATAAAATTGTGCCCGTAGTTCCCGTTCTCAGTCACATCCTGAGTCTCGGTCGCATTTTATTGCTGTTTGTCTGTTGTTATAATAAAAGATATTTCCAAGAAGATGAAAATACTCGTGCGTAATGGGGAATCAGTCAAGCATAAAGTATGAAAAACAGAGATAAATACAAGACTGCCTTTGGTACCACGAAAAATGAATAATAACTGATTTTGTTTGTCAACACATCAGACGACTGTCTGATTCTTGGTAAAACTATTTGCCTGGAGCAATAAATAGCATAGCAGTTGATGGCCAGTGATGTGGATTTGTAGTTGTAGTTGGGAGAAATCAATAAATATTATGAACTAATGATTTGGAGCCGAAAAATTTAAATGCAATGCGTGGACACAAATGCCATTTGGTCAAGCGGGAAAATATTGGAAAATTAATCAGCTATGAACTCATAATAAATATTCATATGTACATACGAGGACATACATACATATAAATAAGCCCGGCATTAAAGAGCAATCAGAATGGAAATTATTATTCAATTTCATTATATTCGGTTCTTTCCGTTCAGTTATTTATATCATTTGCGGCGAATCAGTTTGAAGCGGGTAGGGGGGAAACCTAAGTGTAAAGCATTTTATAAATCGAATCATATTAGTAGGAGCACTTTTGTGTGTGCTTCGCGGTCTTTTCGCTGGGAGTCTTTTCCCCTTTGTTGACTTTTCGTCCCTGTTTTTTATTTTGTGCATTTTTAATGGACAATATTGATTTTTAATCCTACACTCGTATCTGCTCCTCTCCCAGATGGAGTTTCAAACTCTGCCTGCCGTGTCCCGAAAAAGTCTCCGGGGCTCAATCCCGTGAAGCTTACCATAATGTTATTGGAGTATAAAACACTTTTCCTAATTAAAACCAATCTTCTCCTCCTTCACCTTTGGCCGGCTTCTGCACTTCCTTCTCGGCTCCACCTTTTTTTTTACCCCACCAAATGCTCAACAATCCTTTGGGCCGTGCCAAGAGCTTAACATTAATTGCCGTCTTTCATTCCCTCTTTGCCACTGCACTGCACTCACCTGCGGAGCAGGCAACGGCTGAAACAGAGAAGAGAAGAAAAAAGAGACGGCTGAAAAGACGGCCAAGTGAATGTAAAGTTAAGTACGAAAACTGTAAAGGGTCTGATAAAAAAAGTTGGGCCAAATGAATTGCAGGGCGAAGGCGATGCAGAGCTAATAAAAAAGTTTTCGCTTCCTCTCGAATTAAGGGGACAATTTTCTGTTGCTGCCAAATGGCGGCTTAATTACCGGATTTGGCCTCAACGAAGTGCACGATGCAAATTGCACAATTTTTGGCAACAATGAATAAATAATTGAGTTTATTGATTCATTAGGCAAGAGCGCCAATAAATTTCAATTAAATTCAATTAGGCGAAAATGTCTGTTTATATTTTTTTGAAGTTTATTTTGTTAGCAAAGCACTTAATATCCAAGGGGTTGAGTATTTTCTTGAGTATGCTTAGTTTGGTTTACTTTCATAAGTGCCCAAAATGTAGTCTAATACTTTGTGCAGAACTAACAGAGGCCAACAACTGAATATGTGCTTAGTATTAAAATTAAGTAAATCAACAATGAATGTAATTTTTGCATCGTTAATATTAAATATACAAATATAGAATATATAGACCAGCTATTCCAGAAGCTATCGTAGTTTTTACTATCCTTAATAATTAACAATTCATATTTGTTGTCCGTCAATTGTAAGGTGAATCATTAAATTGGCTTGGA